AATAGCAACCTGGCAGTCTTGAACGTCATCGCATTCTTAGCAACAATCTTGCACATCAGCGAGGATGGGCACGAATGGGCAAAGTACTACGGATGGTTCTGAGCGTGTCATGCTTTTTATCATGTTGATAGTTCTGCCTCTATGCAGAGGCATCACGATATTTCTGCAACAACGACGACCAATGCCACTGCGGGTCCCACTATCGCTACTCACCTCCACCGCTTGTTCGAGGGGTTGTTCGCCTCAGCAATCAACATACCAACAATAAGCGCACAAACCCGTTGCGACGGTTGGATCTGCCTAGATGGGGGAGCTCCTGCCCTTGATGGATTGATATCCAAACCCCCAAACCCTCGCTGCAGCAGGAGTTTCAAAGGATGGCCCAAGATGTGCTGCCTCGTCCGCCTGTCTATGCGTCTCGTCCAGGCTACTCACGAGCTTTGGCCTTGGGCGTTCAGCCTAAACCGTAAATCCCAAACCCTCCAACCTTAAACCCTAAACCCTAAACCCTAAATCCCAAACCCTCAAACCTAACTTGCCAGCTTCGGGGTACGGGTCCGGGATTTCCGAGAGCTCACGACGTCCCGAGACCATAGACTCCGTAGACCCGACACCTCATCGAGGCCCTGAAGCGACAGTTGCAGAAAGTCTCCGGGGCGTCGCGGTTTCAGCAGCGGCTGCTGCGTGAAAGCGGGCAACTTCTCTGCGATGAGACGCGGCTCGAGGCGTTCGGCTTTCAGGGGCTTTGGGTTTTGGTTTTGTTTTGGGGTTGGGGGTTTAGGGTTTGGTCTGAACCCACAAACACCCCGAATCTTCAAACCGTTCCCCGAACCTTCAAACCTTTGTGCACCCTAAACCCCAAACCCTCAACCCTAAACGAAAAAGCCCTACACCCTGAACCCAAACCCTTCATAGATCCCAATGGAACCCTAAAGCAGGAGCCCGTCGACTTACACCTGGTGGTCCTGCCTTTCGCCCCTGCGGGAAGTGCTGCAGCACGCCACTTTCTCCAGCTCGCGCGCGAGCGCCGCCATAGGGAGATGGAGGCTCCTTGGAAGCATTCTGGGTGGTTGTTAAGGAATCTAATTTAGGTTGCCATAATACGGAAACCCTATTATTTACTGTAGACCCCTATCATGGTAACTTAAACTAAATCTCTCCCAGCATTCGGCCGGAATTGGAACATTACCACTTAAGGAGGGTTTAGGGTTTCAGAATGGGCACAATGTCCTTTCCTGTTATGGTTTGGGTTTAATGAGGGTTTCGGGCTTAGTCTTTAGGGTTCAGGGTTCCGAAACCCAAAACCTAAACCAGAAACCCAACTTGCAGTTTTGAGATGAGAGTCCTAGAGCTCATTAGCTCGAGATCTCAAACATCACGCACACGCACACACACTAGCCGCAGACACCCAAAAGCGCGCCACTGTAGGCAGGAAGCACCACATCCTCGACCGAAGCCGAGAATCCTAAACCCTAAGCTCAACCCCCCGAACCTCTAATCCGACAGTCATGAATCGGTATCGGTGACGCGACCCTGAGCATGCCTAAACCTCAAAGTCCCGATCCCATCACTTTCAACGCGTGCACCTCTCCCCCTCAGGCCTTAAGCCCTACTCACCGGGTTCTTGCTACGGAATTGACTCTCAGTTGCCTTCATACGAAAAGCATCTGGCTTAGTATATAAAAAGATATGCACATGCACATTCATAGATCTGCAGCATAGTCAGTTAAGCTGGAGCCTAGACCCTAAGCCTTAGCTCCGGTCAACTGAGGCCTTGCTGCAGATCCCCCAGGATCCCGACGTCGTGGATGACTCCGGCACTACGGCCCTCGCCCTCTCAGCGCCTGTGATGCTAAACCCCACCTGGGGATCCAAAAACCTGCTGTTTTCAGGGTTACAGTTTTTAAGTAAGGGGTCATAACCTACTATTTTGTAGGGTTTGGGGATACCGGTATACCCTAAACCCTGTAAGCCCGAAGCCGGGTCTGAGTTTGGGGGACTGGGGGCTGGTAAGGGCTTTCTGAGATGGGTTTTCGGGTTTCGGGAACAGGGTTTAGCGTTCGGGATATATGTTGAGTACAAAAGCTTGAAAATGCTTGAGTACTTGCCGACACTATTCCTTGGGCTTCTACAGTTGACCCTCAAACCCCAATCTAATGGCTCGGGATTTTTCGCAACAGGGTTTTTTCACTTAGATCCCCAATACCAAACCTTCAAACTTTTTGGGTTCTTGTAGTTTAATAGGACTCGGAAAGTTTAATCTTTTATTTCCGTGGCTTATTGGGGCAGTAAGATTTTCAAGCGGTTTTGAGGATGGTTGAGGGTTTAGGGTTTAGCAGTTTAGGGTTTAGGGGTTTAGGGTTTAGGGTTTAGGGGTTTAGGGTTTAGGGCTTTACGGTTTAGGGTTTAGCAGTTTAGGGTTTAGGGGTCTAGGGTTGAGGTTGAGAGTTTGGGGTCCAGGCTGCAGGGTTCCGTGCTCCACGCAGTCCGGAACGGCCATTGCAGGTCTCGAGGTTGATTCCTACAATGCGGTTGATGGTTTACATCCTAGGTTCCGTTAAGTGGATCTATAAGGGTACCTTTAAGGGATTCCTTTCAGGGATCTAGAGGGTTTTAGGGTTTAAGGGTGAATCCTGCATTACCCAGAACAAGAAATATACCGTAATTCCCATAGTCTCGGGTCATTAAGGTAATGCAGGGTTATATCATCAAGCGTATTTGCTGGTTCTGGCGGGATACTGCAGATGCCTAAACTGCATCTTCCGAAATATGTTGGACTTTGTCTAGAGCGTGGGTAGGCGAGTTAGGGCTTTCTACACTAAGTCCTAGACCCTGAAACTCCAAACCACTTGGAGGTTCAGGGGTAGTTATAAGTGGAGTTATAGGTAGGGTAACTATAGCTATAACCCATATTAGGGGACTTATAACTCCACTTATAGCTACCCATGAACCTCCAAGCACAAGCCTAAATCCAAACCCAAAGCTCCAAATCCTGTGCTCTCCGACCCTACACCCCAAACGCTGAAGCTTTCAATGTAACCCTTACGATTACTCATGCCGTATTACTTGGGTAGTTGTCAAAAATAATAGGGACACAAAAAGGGACCATAATGTTGTCAACCACCCACTTACATGCCCAAACCCTAAACCATTAACCTCTGTGTTTTTGACACACGAGGTGCGGCACGGGGCAAAGGCTACGGTGGCACTCCTCTTGGAGGCAAGCTCTCGGTTTCAGCGGACTTCGGATTTGTACACGAGACCCTATGAAGCCTTCCTTCAAGGTTTAGGGTTTAGGGTTTCGGGTTTAGGGTTTGGGGTTTAGTGTTTTAGGGTTGAGGGTTTAGGATTCAGGATTTGGGGTTGAGGGGTTTCCCAAGGTAGAAGCCATAAAATTGCAACATTAAAGTCCTCATGCCCTTAAGGTAAAATTTCAGGGATCCCAGCACTAATCATGCTAAACCCAAAACCCATGTTCGAACTTTTCTGGGGTTCACTATACGGTTTCTACAACTTAGATGTTTAGGGTGTCGGGTTTGGGGTTTCTACACTTGAGGGTTTAGCATTTGTTGTTTGGGGTTCAGGGTCCTCTTAGCGACCCTTCAAAGGTTCTTGTAAGGGTTCTATTTAAGCCTTACTGTGAGGGGTCTTAAAGGGGTCTTGAAGGGGTCTCAGCACTTTCAAATTGGCGTGTCGTGTTGTTGAAAAGGTTTATTGCCAGAGTTGCTATAAAAGGGCATGTCTGTGGAAGAACCCTCCAAAAAGGAGCCCTTACAGGCTCCTTTTAAAAGCCCCCCGCCCTCCGCCGCAAAGCTAACCTAAACCCTAAACCTTAAACCTTAAGCCCTAGAGGCCATGGCAGACACGGAGAAACGGAGCCACACCGGAGAGACGGCGCTCTCCGCGGCCCTCCTCTGGGACCGGCTATGGGATGTTCGTTTTGGTTTTGGGTTTAGGGTTTAGTCCTTTTCGCGTTTGGGGCTTCGGGTTTAGGGCCTAGGGTTTCAGGGTTTAGGTTTTGGGGCTTTAACGTTTTGGGGTTTAAGGGATTTAGAACTTAGGGTTTTGGGTTTACGGCTCGAGGCTTTGGGGTGCAGGTTTGTTTCCTGCCTAAGTTGTTTAAAGCAACATTGCAATCTATTGTATGTGCTGTTTGTTTGTGCGTTTTTACGAGTTGTAGAGAACCTAGGCGTGAACTTCAAGGTTTTCTGACACGTAGGGCTGTGAGTACCCTACGCAGAGGGTCCATTGATACTAAAGAGATAGTAGGGATAGTCTATTGGGACCCAGTACATATATGGACCCTCTGGATATTGGGGGTGCAAGCTAGTCGTATCTATAGCCCCGCAATATTACGGACCACCGCCCAGGTCTTGGTCTGGCTCAAGTCCAAGGGTAAAAGGAGGGACCCTTAATTAGGACCCCGAGGTATATACCGTTAATATAGCTATTATATGCCCATTATATAGCCCATTATAGGGTAGGGGTTTTCACTAAGGGTCCCTCCTTTTCCCCTTTGATCAAGGGATTCATGATGTAGGTTTTGGGGGTGCAGGAAGGCCGAAGCAGGGGACCTGAGTAGGCGCGAACCGACAGACTTTAGGGTTTGGTGGCTTGAGGTTCAGGGTTTAGGGTTAAGGACTTTAGGGTTTGGGGATTTCAGGGTTTAGGGTTGAGGACTTCAGGGTTTAGGGTTTAGGGGCTTGAAGGTTCAGTGGTTCGGGGGTTTAGGATTTACGACATAGGGCATAACCCCACCTGCACTGCCTCAACCACTCCAGTGGGTCCAGCTGCCCCCACAGACCCTAAAACCCAAACTTAGAATCATCTCTTCGCTTCCCAACCTTGAACTTTACAACCCCCCCCCCCCCCGAAACCCTCAATTCCAGGACCTCGAGCTCTGCACCCTCCGAAACCTTGAAACGCTGAAACCCAAACCTGGCCCCCTAAACCCTAAACCCTAAACCCTGAAGGAGCACTGGGAAGTTGCTCGACTGTTGATGGATGCCGGCGCAGAGAAGGAGGAGGCTCTTTGTCTGGCCTGTGCCTTGAAAGGCGCTTGGAAATCCTTCTTAACTTTTGATGACTACTCAAATTTACAAGAAACAGCTGACTTTAGAATCGTTCTTATGTTTTGGCTACTACAATATACGAAACAGCTGAAATTAGAATCTTTGGTTGCTTTCAGTCTAGGTGCCAGGGGGCAGGCTGCTGCAGTGCAGTTTCTGCTGGATGCGGAGACGGACATCGAACAGGGCAACTCGATCGGGGAGACCCCACTTTTTCTCGCACTCCTCCACGGCCACTGGGAGGCGCGGGTGTAGTAAAGACGCCAAAATATTTACCAATATCATTCTTGGGGTTCCTTACTAGAGCTATAATATAATAAACCCGAAAAAACAACATTCTAATTTTTACGGCCCTTCATTAATGGGGAAATTCAAGCACGTCTCCAGCTCCAGTGGTGTCCCGATCCTAAGAAACCAAGCCTAAACCACCCAGAATCGCCAAAGTACGAAATATGTTCAGGTGACCTGCCTCCTGATGGATGCTGGTGGCGACCTCAGTTGAGTTGAGTACTAAACCCAAACACTAAACCCTAAGTCGTCCTTATCCCGGCAAGAGCTTCAAGGCGGTGACAGGCGCCGTAGCAAACCCTAAATTGCCAAATTGGCCCGAGCCTTTGAACAGTACAGTAAGCTCCGAATCGTATTTATCTCCAAAACAGCACAACAGCAGACTACAGCTCGGTTTTATCCCCAAAACTTCTTAGAACAGCACCGAACCCGTATAGATCTCTGTAAAGGAGCCCTTGAAGGATCCCTACAGCCGACCGAACCCTTGTAGATCCCTTTTCAAGGATCCCGAAAAGGAACCCCGAAACTCCGAAGCAGGAAGCAGCACCAAGGTGGCGTCAAGGAGAAAGGCAAAATCCTAACCCCTGAACCCTACACCCTTGGCTCCACCTAAACAGGTATTCCGACTGTAGCAAGGAGGAAAAGGGCCCTCAAAAAAGAAAAGAACCCTACACCCTTAAACACCAAGCACCCAGGTGGCATCAAGGAGAAGGCGCTTTGGCTCGCGGCCGCGCGTGGGCATGGCAACGTGGTGCGACTGCTGCTGGATGCAGGTGGGAAGTCTCAGAAAATATAGGCCGTCAGTATATGCCCCTAGATAGATCAGAATATAGACACGCACGCACACACATGTTCAAGAATCAATACATTACATGTAATTAGATAGATAAACAACCAACCAACCCACCAACCAACCAACCAACCCACCCACCCACCCACCCACCCACCCACCCACCAACCAACCAACCAACCAACCAACCAACCAGCGAACCACTTGACTAACTAACTAGCTAACTAACTAAGTAGCTTAAGTAACTGACTAAATTAGCTTAATTTCAAGTCACTTAATTAACTAATTGACTAGCCAGCGAGATAAAGATATGTATGTATATATGCATGCACATGTACACAAGTGTAGATAGCTACGTACATAGATACATTCGTACATACACATACATATACACGCACACATACACACATATACACACATATACACACATACATACACACACATGCATACATACATACATACATGCATACATACATACATACATACATTTATGTATGTTCTATTACGTGATTGGACATGTATGTATGAATGTATGTATGCACGTAATTATGTATGTTTGTGGATATATGCATGCATGTATGTATGTGTGTATGTATGTAGGTTTGTATGCATGTATTCACGTATGTATATACGTGTGTGTGTACGTATGTACGTATGTACGTGTGCGTGTATATATATATATATATATATATATGCATACGTATGTACCCATGCACGCCTGTGCGTATGCATGTATGCACGTATGCCTATGTGCATGTGTGCAGGTGTCCATGTATGCCTGTATGCACGTATTAACGTATGCATGTGTGCACGTATGCATGTGTGCACGTATGCATGTGTGCATGTAAGCCGGTATTCATGCATGGGTGTATGGATGAATGAATGTATGTACGCATGTACATAGGTAAGTATGTGTGTACGTGTCTGTGTGCATGTGTACATGTGTATGTTTGTGTATGTGCATGTGTGTACATATATTTATACATACACATGCATACATACATATACATATCTACGTACATACATACATACGTACGCACATACATATGTGCACATATATGTACACAAAGTCTGAATACGGCTTTATGTATCGCAGGATCTTTCCTGTGAGAGAGGTTCACTAGTTTGGGACAACCTTAGCCTTTAATCCTTAAACACCAAGCCCTAAACCTTTAAGCCCTTGCAGAGCCCTTATAGCTCCCTTTTAAGGAACCCTAAATGGAGAAATCCTAAAGGCAAAACCCTAGAACCCAAGCCGAGGTGTGGATATTGACAAGCCCAACTCAGATGGCGAGGCTCCTCTTTTCCTCGCCCTTCTCCATGACCATTGGGAGGCCTTCAGGGTTTTGGGTTTGGGGTATAGGGTTTAGGGTATAGGGTTTGGGGTTTAGGCTTCAGGCGTTGGGGTTTAGGGTCCGTTTTTGTTGTTTCGGTTTCAGGTTTTGTTTAGGTGTCCGTCTTTTAGCCTTCGCACAGGGTCTGTGTGTCCAATCTTGGGATGTAGGAGTTAAAGCTCGAGGGTTGAGGGTTGCAAACCTGGTCCATGGAGGCATGGGATCTCCTGTCCCTGCACTAACCCTGATCCGTTCTAAACCCCAAAACCGAAACCCTCAACCTCAGCCGTATGAACGCAGGCATAGTGAGGAGTGAAAGACCCTAAGCCCTGAGCCGTAAACTGCAAGACGTCCTAAGCCGTTAAACCCTGCGCGTCGGAGCCGTTACAGAAGTCTTAAAGAGCCCGTAAAGGAACCCTCAAAGGAATCCGTGAAACCTGTTCAGAGATTCAAGGTTGCCTGCCTGCTCATGGATGCTGGGGCTGACAAGGAGACTGAGCCGTTCTCAAACAAAGTGTTGCTTTTAGTAGTATGGTATGTACAGCATAGGCTTAATAAGGAACATCTTGCGGCTTTTTTAGTACAGTCGGTATAGTATACGCTTGCGAAGAAGCATACTGTTGCTGTTTGTTGCTTAGTAGGTATAGTATGCGCTTGCGAGGGAACATACTGTCAGTTTTTAGCCTAGTAAGTATAGAATAAGCCTAAGAAAGAACACATAACTACCATGTTACACTTGGCTTTTCAAACTTAGGAAACCCTAAACCCTCAACCGTACCGGTCCCTTAAAACTAGCCAACCTTAAGGGACCCTACGGGTGGTCTTGTTCCTTCTTTCCATGGGCCCCGCAGAGCCCAGGAGAAGGTTCTGTCCTATGTTGCCTCGCACAATTTCTTCGAGCTGGCCTTCCTTTTGCGGATGTGGACGAAGCCTGCAAGTGCCAGGGAGCCCAATACTCCGTAATTGAGGATTATGGCTTAACTCGCAAGAAGAAAGCTTACACAATTTAAGACCGATTCCTATGCCTAGACCTCTTAATAAAGTAAAGGAGTATTCCTTAGCTGCATGCAGCATGAGCGATATATTCCCGAGTTAGGTGGTATTGGGCTGGCCGGGGTGGGACAAAGTGAGCTCTCGGCCAAAGAAGCTGAAGAAGCCTGACGCCCCAAAAGCACAAAGGGGCTCGACGAACCCCTAAAGGTACCGTAGAAGAAGGTGCTCGTGCAGTTGCGCCTTGTTGTTGTTTGGAGGGACCTCGGTGGAGCTTGGGAAGCTGGATACGAGTTGGGGTTGCGTGAGAGTTAGAGCAGCCCCAAGACGACATCATGTCTTTAGGTTTAGGGTTTCGGTACTTGTAACCTGCTTCCAAGGCGCCATCGTCGTTTCAGTAGGGTTTAGGATTTAGGGCTGGGCCGCATTGAGTCTCATGTCGGCTGGCAGAGGAACCGATCACCGCGGAAAAGAGTCTCAAGTTCATGCGCTTTTAGGGTTTAGGGTTTAGGGATAACCATAAACCCCAGACCCCAAAACACTGGACCCTAAGACCCTACAATCTAAGACCTAAACTGAGCCAGCCACAACCCTTGAACCCAAAACCCGAAAACCCTAAACCCTGAGACTTAAACTAAGCCCTAAACCCTAAACCCTAAATCCTAAACCCTAAACTCAAGTCCATGCTTGGCGGGGCGCTGAAAGCTAAATGGCCGCGGACATAAATCCTAGGGTTCCTTTAAAGGGATCTAGAAGGGTACCTTTACGGGATGTATAGGGTTTTAGGGTTTAGGGTTTAGGTTGATGTATAACTCCTGCATTACCTAGGGGTAATGCAGGATTCATAGCATCAACCGAATGGCTTTGGTCCAGGGCTTAGGGTCTAGAGCTAAACCAGATAGCTGTCGGAGGAACTACCTCAGGCTGCCTTATTGTAACTATTGCTATAGTATCACCGAAAGCCCCATTCTAATTATCAAGGTTCTTCTTACAGCACCCCTGTTTGAAGGGTTTGACGAGGTCTCGGGTTTGTGAGGAAGCCCTTGGTGATTCGAAGCCGAGGGTGTGGTGGTTTTATCGGATTCACGGCTGCTGTGCTGACCAAAACCCTACACCCTTAGCCATAAACCGTAGGCCCTGACAGTTCTGGGAAGCTAGAGTACACATGCTCTAAGCCCCAAGCCCTAGCCGAACCCTACACCTTGTACAACCCTTATACAACTGTCGGACCCTGCAGAACCATACCCTGAACCCTAAACATCTGGGTTCTTGTTAAGGAACTTAATTTAAGTTACCATAATAAGGAAACCCTTTTATTTACGATAGATCCCTATTATGGTAACTTAAATTAAGTTCCTTAACAAGAACGCAGACATTGAAACCCTTTCATCACGAGACCTTAAGAACGAGCTAAGGAGGGACTCCCGCGCCCTTCCTTTGCGGCCAAAGCTCCGGCCCCAGCGACGTTTTGGGCTCGGGTTTAGTCATCCTTACTCTTAACTATGCTGATGATTAATGCTGTTCGATGTCCTTACATAAGGGATCCTAAATCCTACCTACCTTCATCCCACCTTTTGAGGCCTCCGACAACTAAAAGAGCAACCACCCGCTTTTCAGGTGCCTCTGGAGGATGCCGGTCTCACAGCGACTGGGCGCTGGCAGGCGGGTAGACACCTCTACCCAGTATCGCTTCTAGGGTCTAAGGGGGTTGAAGGGGTTTAGGGGCTTCGGGGTTTAGGGTTTAAGGGCTTGAAGGGGTTTAGGGTTTAGGGGTTTAGGGTTTAAGGGGGTTGAAGGGGTTTAGGGTTTGGGGTTAGGGTTTAAGGGGTTGAAGGAGTTTAGGGGTTGGGGTTAGGGTTTAAGGGGTTTGAGGGGTTTAGGATTTTAGGGTTTAGGGTTACTGGATCGGCTCCGGGCTTGTTTCAACCCTATTGCCTTGTAGTTCTTCCATGGGTAGTTGTCAAGATTAGGGTCCCTTTTTTGGGTACCCTAAATGTTAGGTGGCGTATTATATGAAGGACCGAAAAAGGCACCATAATTGTGACAACCACCCATATAGGCTTGAGAAGGTAGACCACTGCGCACGCCTCTTCGAAAGCCAAAAGGCCCCTGTATCAAAATCCTTGCCGACCGCTCTAGAACCCTATGGCATGGATCCCTTATGGAAGCACTTTGAAGGACGTTAACCCTAAACCCTAAACCGTAACAAAGCCTCAACTAACAAGAACCCACAAACGTTCCCCTGCTTCCCGGCCTCCCGGACGAAGGCGGAGCAGTTGCGGCTTCGACTGGTCCTGGTCTTAGCCATATGGGGGAGTAGGGTTTAAATTTAGGGTTGTGGGGGTTTAGGGTTAGGAATGATTAGGGCTTAGGATTTAGGTATTTAGGGTTTGGGACTTAAGGTTTAAGGTTCGATGTTTTGGGGGGCTCGGGTTTAGGGATCAGAGTTTTAGGGACTAGGGCTTTATATAAGTTCAAGATGAGGAGATGAGACTCTAAACCCCTAAACCCTAAACCCTAAACCTCTAGGAGCTAGAGTTTAGGCTGTTTGGGGGATCAGGGTTCAGAGCTTAGGAGTTGGGAAGTAGAGCTTAAGGTTTAGGGTTTGGGGTATAGGGTTTAGGGTTTAGGGTATTTGGGGATGTGTTTGTCTGATAGCAGGCGTTATTCGGTTTGGTGCGTGCTTGTTTGTTAGAAGAAGTTTGCAAGTCTGCTTCAGCTTGCTAGGTGTTTAAATCTGTGCTTGAATGGGTCTGCTTGGGCTCCGTGAGGTTTACTATCGGTTTCCTTAGATTAACGGTGCCTGTATTTACTTCTTCACAACGATCCTACTCTTTGAGCTTTTGTGCCCCCTAAATTTTGCGAAGCTCGTTCTTCCATAGCACTCCCACTGCTGCTGCAGAATGTCTTCCTTTGGGGTTCGGGCCTGAGGGTCTCGCAGGGTTTTGGGGCATGGGGTTGAGGAACCCTTACGAAACCCAAAGGAAGCCCTTAAAGGGGAACCCCCCTACCCTAAACCCCAAAACCCTAATTTTTCTTGAAAGAACCCTTAAAGCGGAACCCTGAAAGGAGCCCTGAAAGGAACCCCCTTCAAGGAAGCTTCAGCCCTGAATCCTAAAGCTCCCCACTGTCGCCAAGGAGGCGGCCCTTCAGGAGGGGAGCTTGCCGACGGCGGGGATTCCTTGACTATTAACGGGTCCGAGAAGGGTTCCATAAGAGCGGGGTGGGGGGAAGCTTTCTTTTTGAGAGTGAAGGCTTTACCGGCTACATCTCTCAAGTGTTCGTTGACGCGTGTAGCCATTTGAGGGACTTGGTTCTGCAACTGTGAGTTGTATAGGCTCTTCGGGCTTCGCTGTGTCGTTCTTCGTTGTTCTTTTGTTTCGCGCCTTGTCAATTGCTCCGTGTTGGTTGCAGTTTGTGGTAGTATGTATATGCTTAGCATATGGGGCTTGGGGATGTAGGTCTCTGGATGATTGGTTCTTAGCGTGGAATGCAGCACCATGTCCCGTGGGTCACGCATTTCGGATTGCTTAGCAGAAGTAGGTATGGGGCGCGCAAACCCTAAGCCCTGATGACCAAGAATACTGAGCTGGAAAGAACCCCTCAAGTCACAGTAAGTTTTAATGTCTATGAGCATTCTGCAGTGAACTGCAGAAACATTTCCGGATAGCATCACTTTCATCTTCCAGAGCAAATTCAACTTGACCACTCCTTTTCACTCTCAGAAGCCCTAAACCCTAAAAGCCTTAAACCCTAAACCCTAAAAGAACTAAACCCTAAACCCTAAAAGCCCTAAACCCTTTAAACCCCTTATGGAGCCCTGCTCAAGGAACCTGTCCTTAGCCTGTCGGCCGTCATCTCTTAAGCTCTGAACCCTAAACCTGGCCCCCTAAACGTCTAAACAAAAAGCCCAAAGCCCTAGACCCTTAAAGTCTAAAAAAAAAGCCTTAAACCTAAACCCTAAATAAACCGTGGCTTCGGAAGATCCGGTAGGTCAGCAGGGTGGCCTGCTCGCCTTTGCGGCGAGCACGAGAGACGGCCGCCACCTTGTTCCCCAATCACGAGGCACACGCTTTTTCTTTCTGTTTAGAGGTTTAAGTGTTTAGGTTTACGGGTTGTCATTTCAAGGTCTAAGGTCCGGTTATCAATTCGGGTAGTTAGGGTATTTCTGTTGTTCAGGAGAGAGGACAGGGGGTTGCTGCCCACCGTTGGGTTCTTGTCCAGGAACAGCCTTCAAGTTACTGTATGGTAGTCTCTTGAGCTACCGTCTTCAACGAAAGCCCAGTAGAAGGTGCAGATTCTAGACGATCTCGCAGAACGCCGTGGCCCCAGAGGATAGCTTCTTGGCCAGTGCAAAAACGTGGCACTTTTCGGCTAAATGATGCTGGTCGAAGGGACCTTCTGCATAAGGCCACGCCAAAGCTGTTCCATGCCTTTTTGGGGCAGCTTGTTATGGGAACATGAGGGGATTGTAAAGGGCAGATGATTTGGATAGTATGGGCAGGAACGGTCTCGGAGTAGTGATGGCAAGTTTGGCACACGTTTGACCGCATGCTTCCTCTATTTAAAGGATCGTTGGACTTAGTATTTTTGCAACGTAACTAGGGTTATGAACAAGATAACCATACACCATACCTGTAAGTATTCACAGACCCGCCTCAGCCGTAGCATGCTCTCAGCATGAAGTGCTTTTTTCTCAATGCGAAGCTTGCTCTCCCCTCGTACACTCCTCTCAGTACCACACCAGGTTCGAGGTTTTACATCCCAGGTCTTCGTGCTCGCAATCGCTTTACGTGGCGACTCTCAACCCTCAAGCCTATACCCTAAACCCGAAGCCCTAAACCCGAAAGCCTAAGCCCTAAATCCATTGGGGTACCGCATCCTGATTTCCAGCCTTTATGCCGGAAAAGCTTGAAGATTGAACCCGAGTTCCCAGAACCTGCCAGGTTTAATCGTAACTCTCCAAGGACCTGAACTTAAACCCGATCCTAAACCTTAAGTTTTGAGTCCCTAAAGCACTCCCAAGCAGCCCGCCAATTCCAAGGGCCCCAATATGGGAGTTTCCGAAATAGGGGGACCCTAATATAGCATCCTAAATAGTAGGATCCTTATTATAAGGACCCAAAATAAGGTACCCCTAATATTCGAGAACCCCCCTATCCTGAATCCTCTGGAGCCCTTCGAAAAAACACATCATCAATCCGTTACAGATCTCGTTTATAATTCCTTTCGAACCATTATCAAGGCCCACAGACTCAAATCTAAACCTGAAAGCCTAAACCCTAAAGGCCTAACATCGAGCAGTCTGCCTGTTTCCAAGGCCACGAGGGCGCAGCTGCGGGAGCCGAGCCCTGGTCCTGTACATTCTTAGTCTTCGTCCAAGTCTTGTTCTTTAGGATCAGTCGTAGTCTCGTTCTGAGTCCTAGTCTTCGTGCTCTTCTGCTTCGTCTTCTTGTCCTCCTCATCATTTTGATTTTTGTGTTTATTTGAAGAGCCCCGTGGTTTAGGCCGGCGCATCAGGCGCCCCCAGTGGAGCACTGTGATGACTTTGCTTCTTGTGATCAGCATGATTACTCTTCCTTTTCGTGATCGTTTGATTGTTGGCATTAGTCTTGTATTTGGGATACTGTCTTCGGAGTTCCCTAGAAGTTTTTGGTGTTCCATGAAATGCGCACAGGGGGTTTGCATCGAGGTAGGGAACAACATCAAGCCTCATGATCATTCAGACGCCGAGCGTATATAGAAGCTATACCTTAAGTAGGAGGTCGCTCGTTACTGTGTCAAAAAAATCTTCAAGATAGCGCCCAACATCGAATCCCCAAAGTGCAGGGATGAAGGGGTTTCGGGGGTGTGTCTTCTGGGATTTCCCCACCCCCTAAACCCTAGCCCTAAACCCTAAACCCTAAACCCTGTAGGCTTGAAGGGTCATGCCAGGTTTGAGTGTGGAAGCCGTGGAAGATGAGAGCTAACCCCAAAAGGCCTGAAGCCTGAACCCTGCGCCCTAACCCTGTTTGGGAGTTTCCGAAAATTAGGGGTACCTTATTTTGGGAGTAAGGATCCTGCTATTTAGAGTATTATATATGGGTCCCCTATTTTCGGAAACTCCCGTTTCGGTCTTTCAGGGTTTCTAGGCCTTGAGGTTTTCAGCGAGCACGTGGGCTCTTCCAGGCTCCACTTTTCCTATTGAATCTGATGTGAACATGTGCCCCAAACCCGGGACCGAATGCCAAACTCTTAGAACAAGGAGCTAGCAAAATCGAATCGTGAACACTTAGCTTCTGTAGCCAAGCTAAGACCTCAAACCTCAAGCCCCTGGACCTGATTGTCGTACACTTTTCTGAAGGGTCCTGCAGCTTACATCGTTCGGGAGATCCAGGTGGTCCCTAAACCCCGAAACCCCTAAACCCTAAACTTAGATCCCAATGCCCAACCTTTGTAGGAATCGGAAAGTTTAAACTTGTATTTTCTTAGGCTTATTGGGGCAGTAAGTAAACCCCTACATCCGGAACTTTAAACATCAATTAAGCCGTAAACCCGGACCGTTTAGCTTTCATGGCTTAGATGCAGAGTTTCAGTTACGAGGAAACCATGCAGCAGCTAGCTGCTCGCGCCGATCGTTGCTTCGTCACCTGGAACAGAGAGAGGGTTTAGGAGTTAAGGGTATTGGTTTGGGATTGAGCATTTGGGGTTTTGGATTTAGGGTTTAGGGTTTCGGATATCGTGTTTTTGCTTGAAACCTTTGTGTTGGGTTTGCGGGGGAGTAAGCTTGAGCATCTAAATCCTACGTGGATGTACTAGAGGGCTGTTCCCTAGTGCATCAGGGCTGAGTGTCTACTTGTCTGCATTAGCCTGTCGACTCGGTCTTGAGCCGCGAAGTACTTCAGAATCCCACACCGCATACCCTAGACCCTAAACCCCTAAACCCTAAACCCCTAAACCCCTAAACTGTCCCCAAGCCGTAAGCCAGAAGCCCTCCGAAGCCCCGAGGCTCTTCAGAGACCCGATGGCTCGAGCACCAACACGGGACACTAGCAGGTTTAGAGTTATGTCAATACTGCACTGATCCCAAAGTTCGACGCACTCTGTGTTGTTCACTTGCAACAAACCTGTCCAAGACCCCTTTGCCGGATTGACTCTTCCACAAGTCCTCCGCCCAGAACAACTATAGTACTATAATTTCATTCCCTGGTGATATTTCTCCGCTAGCCAGGCTAGGGTATTCCTCACTCCCAGTACTCCGCTTACTCCGTTTAGTGTCTCTAGCGGATGCGATGAAACTGTACTGCCGGGCATGAAGTGTAGAGTATGGAGGCGGCTTGGGTTTATGTGGGTGGTTGTCAAAAAATTATGATCCCTTTTTGGGTACCCTAAATATTAGCTGCCGTACGATAATAGGAACCCAAAAAGGGACCATAATTTTCACAACCACCCATGTTAATTATAACTCTATCAAAACCCTAAACCCTATACCCGGGACCTCAACCCGACATCCGACAGGCCCTCTGCCTGGCACTCTATGTCGTGTAGGTTTTTTGGTAGGCTTTCGGAGTTTCCATGAAGCACTATAGGGATTATCGAGGTCGAAGGATGAGTACTACTATGCCCCAGTCGTCCCTGTATAGTCATACTACACTATACCATACCCCACAACGCTGTTCCAAGCAGTAAGGCCCCTTTACTACACCCTAAACAACAGCCAGACAGTGCTCAAGGAGTGGCTTGTGGAGTGCGAGGAGGACTCCATCGTGGCTCGGTTCTATGGATTGATGTAGGCGCCCAAGTGAATTAGAACTGGGTATTGGGGTATATTGTACGCATTTTCGGGACCCTACGGAAACACTCAGAGTTCCGTGGGTGTAGTGCCGGGTTTAGGGTTGAGGGATGTGGCGGGGTTTAGTGCAAGGGCTTGCGTCTGGTTGTTGGGGTTTGGGCTTAAGATGCAAGGTTTAGGCGGTGCTGCACGTGTTGCCGGGTTACGACGAGAGGTCCAGTGGTCAAGGGCTTTGCGGTGTAGGAAGCAATGGGTTATGAGTGGTGGGTGCGGCTGTAGTGTTCTGGGTGTTGGGTTTCGGGCGTTGAGCTAAGGAATTTCGGTGCTCGTGCTAACGAATAATACATCTGTTGGCGACCAGCGCCACCAGCGGCAAACTTCCTTCCAACGTAGCATAAGTGAGGAACAATGTAGCACAAGCCAGGAGCCATTCAAGAAACGCAGATGGCACCCAAAAACCCTAAACCCCTGCTTAAAAGAACAGTAGTTTTAGCAGTGTAAAGGGCGTTTTCAAAGCCACGATGCCGTGAAACAACTCAATTTGCAGACCCCAACACCCCTCTGTACCTAAGTCCTGGGGCACAGGGGTAGGCTCAACCCGGCGGATGGGTACCCTAAACCCTAAACCCTAAGCCCTAAACCCTAAACCAAGACTGTCAGCGTCGTTCTTCGAGGTAGTAAGCGGCTTTGAACCTTAGCTTCCTTGCTTGTAACTGGATTCCCCAGTACCGACGGAACTTTAGGCTTTAGGGCTTCGGGACTCGGGCTTAGGGACTAGGATTTAGGGGCTGGCTCGAGGGATCACATATCCTGGAGGTCCTTGTATGCTTGTGAAAAGCATGACAGCAGCAACTGTTCCTACACGCTCGCCCAAGCTGCCGAAACCTATAAAAAACCTGAGCCCTAGACCCTGGAGCCCGTGAACACTAAGCGCTACACATTACCCCCGAAACGCACGGTTTAGGGTTTAGGGTTTGCCCGTCCCTCTTCGCAAAACCGCGGTTCTCTGGCCCAGGCTGTGGTGAGCGGGCGCCTGAGGGTGTAGGGCTGATGGCGGCGGAGGGAGGATGAAGCTGCTTGCTTTGGGAGTTCTTGCCCCTTTAGAAACCATAACCCTGCAAGAAATCTTAAACCCAGATCAGCAGCAGCCTTGAACCAACAACGTACTAGATCTTTCACCGCAATGATCCTTAGTCCTATTCTATAGACTTTCAATCCGTACTGTAGGGGTCGGAACAACTAGGAATAACATACACGCACTCAAAGATTCCACAAAACCCAAGTCCCCCGTATCACAAGACCCTTCTAGTAACCCTCGTAGAACCGTTATAGAATTCCTTGATAGCACCGTTTGAAAGAGGCCCCCATTTGTTAATCCGCGACTCTCCCAGGCCCCAAAAGCTTGGGGTTTAGGGTTTCACGTGTTGGTGTTTAGGGTTCCGCGGTGGCAGGGTTTGCCGTCGGGGACTTTGGCCCTTGCCCTTATAGCTGGGGTGTTTGTTGTTTAGGGTTTAGTGTTTAGGGTTTAACGGTTTCGAGTTTCCTAAGCCTTTTCGGCGCTTTATGGTTTAGGAGTTTGGGTCTAGCCGGGCTCCGGAGGCTGTTGCCGTGGTCGATGTCACTGAGTCTCCAACGAACCTGAAGCCTGAACTAAGAACCCTGAACCCTAAACCCTAAGCCCTAAACCCTAAACCAAACCCCCAAACCCGAGGCTCCAATCCCCAAGCCGTGAAGCCTAAAATCTCAATCCTATATGTAGGAGCCTGATTGAGCAACCTTGGGCCATTACTAGGGTTCCTTATGTGAGCCCTACAATTTTTGGGGCTATAGGCCCAGGGTTTCCTAATCAGGCTCCTACATTACCTTAAACCCCGAGCCCAAAGGCCGAATTCTATGCGCACCCTGGACCCTGAACCCTAACCCCCTAAACCCCTAAACCCCCTAAACCCCTAAACCCCTAAACCCCTAAACCCCCTAAACCCCTAAACCCCTAACCCCTAAAGCCCCTAAACCCCTAAACCCTAAAACCCCTAAACCCCTAAACCCCTAAACCCCTAAACCCCTAAACCCCTAAACCCTAAACCCCTAAACCCCTAAACCCCTAAACCCCTAAACCCCTAAACCCCTAAACCCCTAAACCCCTAAACCCCTAAACCCCTAAACCCTAAACCCCTAAAGCCCCTAAACCCCTAAACCCCTAAACCCCTAAAACCCCCTAAAACCCCTAAACCCCTAAACCCCTAAAACCCCCTAAAACCCCTAAACCCCTAAACCCCCAAAGCCCCTAAACCCCTAAACCCCTAAAACCCCCGAAACCCCAAAACCCCTAAACCCGAGACCTGTGTGCACCCTGGAGCCCGATAGTCGAGGCCACGGCGAGTTGCTGCGTCTTCTCTTTACCCGGATGCCGCGCAGAGCGCGTGTGACCGTCGATGATAGGAGGCCAAAAAGGGTTTTAGCCGATTTCAGCCTATGGGGGTTTAGTAGGGAGTAGGGTTCCCATAACAGGGCTCACATGAAGGACGCCCTACCCCAAGAATCTTAAACCACCCTTTTGGCCTCCCATCACAGTGTTCTTGGTACTATTCTTTTCTTTTCTGACTCTGATTACTATCGTTCTTATTCTCATTGTTACTATCCTTATTGTTATAGTTGTAATTTCATTCTGATCAGTTTTGTTGTTGGCTGGTTTTTGTTTTGGTTCCTCAGAGGTTTACGGTATAGAACTCTCATAGCAGCGTGCAGAACGCTCTGGAACAAGACCTCCAAAAACCAGGTACACTGCAGTTCTGAAATCCCATCACTTGAGCCCAGCCGTGAAAGCCTAAACCCCCAGCTCCAAACCCTCACATGGGGGCCCGTAAAATTAGTGATGCTGTAGGGTTCCTACCCAGGCCCCCGGGAGAATCTACCCCTAATTTGGGACCCTATACTACAAAGGGTAGGTTGCAGGAAACACATTAAGCGATCTACTTTTTGGATCCTCCTGGGGGTCTGGGTAATCAACATACCAATTTAACGACGCTGTCCCAACCATACAGGCCCATGAATTACAGCCCAAACCCAAGCCCGAAGACCCGTCTCTGCAAAACTCACCCAAAGATGGACAGCATAGGGCTCTAGTCGGGCTTTGGGGGCTTGAAGGGTTTTAGGGTTTTAGCAAAATTCCAAGGTGTAGGGTTAAAGGAATCCGGACCTGGGTTAAAAAAAATCAAGCTTTGGGTTTTGCGTGTACCCAGCGACTCCAGCATAAACAATGTACCTTTCAAGAATGACATGACCCATAAACTAGTGACCTTGGTTTCTCTAGGTAGGGTTTCAACGTCATCAGAACCCTAACCCTAAAAGCCCTAAACCCTAAACCCCTAAACCCTAAAACCCCTAAACCCCTAAACCCTAAAACCCCTAAACCCTAACCCTAAAACCCCCGAAACCTTTAAACCCCTAAACCCTAAACCCCTGAACCCTAAAGCCCCTAAACCCTAAACCCCTGGACTCTAAACCCCTAAACCCTAAACCCCTAGACTCTAAACCCCTAAACCCCAAACCCCTAGACTCTAAACCCCTAAGCCCTAAATGTCATCCAGGGGCCTCTCTGTGGGCTTCCAGCTTTGCGAGCTCCGCGCTTGCCTCCTACGGTCTGAAGCCCAAGGCCCTCCCCGAGAGTTTGGGGTTCAGGGTTCAGGGGTTTGGGGTTCAAGGGTTTGGGGGTTTTAGGGTTTAGGGGTTTAGGGTTTAAGTGTTCAGAGGTTTTAGGGGTTAGGGTCAAGGGTTTAGGGTTTGGGGTCTAGGGGTTTAGGGTTTAGGAGTTTAGGGTTTCAGGTTTAGTAAGTGTGTATGGAAGGATCCCTTTATGTAGTTTGGGGGATGCTTTAGTGGGATTTCATTCTGATGGTTTAAGGATGCGCAAGGCATGTTCCTTAATGAAGGGGTCTCTGGAGTCGCCCCGGGGTGGAAGTGGGGGTTGGAGGGGTATGAAGGGGTTTGAAGGAGTTTAAGGGTTTAGGGTTTAGAGTTTAAGGCTTAGGGCTTAGGGTTTCGGGTTCAGGGTCTGGGGTGGTGCAGGGGTTTGTTGCAGGGTTCCGCGATTTGCTGCAACTCTACATCCCCCATTCCCGGCTCTAGGAAAATGTTGATATCAGTATACAGCAAGTTATCCCATAACCATCTTCTAATCACTAAGGACCCTTAGGTAAGACCCCTTTAGGTCCCATGGGCCTCCACGGTGATGAATGACATCATGGGGTTCTTGTATTTGTAAGTGTAAGGGTTCTTATAAGGGCTGCAAGAGATACGAAAAGAGTTCCTATAAAGGTTCTTACAAAGGCTTAAGCTGTTCAGGGTCGTGGGTGCAAATGCAAGTTTTTGCGCCGATGACCTTACGCAGCCCTTAAACCCTAAATGCTCAAGAAACTCTAACTGTTAAGCCTTAAAACGCTAAACGCTGAAACCCTAAAACCCTAAACCCTAAACTCTAAGCAGGTTCCTACGTTAGGGCTTGGGCCAGGGACTGGTATGGATTTCGTGCTTTCCGTGCTCTTCGCGGTTTAGGGACAACGGTGCCGGCAAGCACAGGCATTCACATGCTGTAGGGGCTTAAATAATTACCTATACTGATTTGGGGTTCCATATTATGTTTATAGTTCAAAATTGGCCCCAAAACCCTGTTCTAATCATTAAGGCCCCTATACTACCGCTATGTTCCACGCCATTGAGCTCCGTCCACGGACCCTTTACTCCGAAGCTTTTATTCGAATGAAGTCCTTGCAACTGTTACTGCGATGCAAGACCCTCGCCTCTGAGTTTGCCAGCCAGGACAATTGACCTGCGTTGTGCTGCCGCTGCGCTTGAAACCGTGAGCTGCGCCGGGACAAAGAGCTGTCTCGTCTGCGGATAAGGGTATAAGGGTGACTAGAAGGGAGTCACTCCAAGCCCCCAGCCGCTGCACCCCTGAACTCTACTTGGAGGATCATGGGACTTAGTGAGTACTGTTATAAGTACCTTAGCTGGGGTTATAAGTTATAAGTACGTAGTTGTATAAGTACAGTTAGCTTATTCATAACGCCAAGTCAAGACCAGGTTGTCGATTTGAATCCCACGAAGCGGTATAAACCCGAATAAGAAAATGCATCGGTTTAGGGTTCAGGGTTTAGGGTTTAGGGTTTAGGGTTTAGGGTTTAGGGCTTAGGGTTTAGGGGCTTCATGGAAACCTCGTTTACCATACACGCCCTGCAAACACCCGTAAAGAACGGCTGGCAAACAGCTTGCTGAGCCTTACGAACCCATAAGGTGCCCCGTAACACTTGTCGAGCTTGTCACAAACCCTAAACCCTAAAGTCTATCCCCAGAATCCCAAGTCCTAAACCCTAAACCTACATTCTATCCCCAAATTCTGTCCCCAAACCCTAAACCTTACAGTCTATCCCCAGAACCCCAAGTCCTAAACCCGAAACCCGAAGTTTGATCCCCAAGCCCTAAATCCTGAACCCCAGCTCAAGCTCAACGTTATTTTAAACTCGGAGCCATGTTCGCGTTTGCCGAGGCCAAAGACCCGGACCAGGAGCAGGAGCAGCGAATTTCAGTTTGTCCTTTTTTGTTTTGGAACGAGAGGGGGGATTGTTGTTGGTGGATTTTGGGGATTTTTGCGAGGGGTTAGGGTTCTTTAGAGGGACTTAAGAGTTTCGGATTCAAGGTGTATGGGTTAAGGTTTAGAGGCTTCGGCACACCCAAACGGAGTGCACTCGGAATTGGGGTCTTTCAGTGCATGGTGTTGCGGAGGAGAGTTTATCGTCGATTCAGCGCCGGTTCCCCTGGACCTTACAAAAAAAGAGCCTTCTAAGGAACCGTAAACCTCTAAGCCCTACGTCCTCCGTCCTAAGCTCCTAAACCCCTTGACCCTAGACTTGAAACCCTGGACCCTAAAATTGAGCCGGGAGCATAGGGGTCTTTGTTTTCTGAGAGTGCAAGCCCTAGTGGGCAGGCGCTGGACTCGTGCAAGCGAAGAAAGAGCCACTGCATTCAAAAAAAAACCCTAAGCCTTGAACCCTTCTTGGAGGATCAAGGGACTTAGTGATTGCAGTTACAAGCACCTAAACTTGGGTTATGAGTACGCATAAGTATAATTGCCTTATTCACAACCCTAGTACTGAGTTCCCCTGATGGTCAAAGTATGGTTCCATCTACCTTAATGCCTTTGACGGGTTGCTTTAAGGGTTCCTTCAAGGTTCCATACGGTTGATGACATACATCCTGCATCAGCGTAATGCCGACTATGGGAATTATAGTATATTCCTTATCATGGGTCATGCAGGTTTTATATCATCAACCGTAGTTTCCTTTTCAGGGGTTCCTTTAATAGGGTTTGTGTGGTTTTATAACCCGAAAAGACGAGTATTTGCGCTAGAAGCCTAAAGCCCTAAACCCTAAACCGTCGAAGAGACCTTATAGGATCCCTTTAAAGGAGCCCTAAACCCTCAACCGTCGAAGAGCCCTTATAGGATTCCTTTAAAGGAGTAAAGGAGCTTAAACAATGAACAACACACCGAACCCAAAGCCTTCAAGCATGAACCCGCCCCCTAAACCCTATCCTAAACCCTAAACCCTAAACTCTAAACCCTAAACCCCAAACTCTAAACCCTCAACTCTAAACCCTAAACTTTAAACTCTAAACCCTCAACCCTAAACTCTAAACCCTAAACCCTAAACTCTCAACCCTAAACCCTTAAAGGTACCCGAAGCTACGCGTCCGGGAGGCCGAGGCGTTGCACGAGAAGTACCGGTTCCTTGTGGAGACGCTCAAGGCCTCGTCTTTTGTCTCCTGCCGTTTAGGGTTTAGGGTTTAGGGTTTAGGGTTTAGGGTTCAGCTTTCTTCTACCCTCTGGGTTCCTTTAAGGGTTGCTTTAGGGGCTGTAAGTTTTCTTGTTTTGTTTTTGTTTGTTTGGGTTTTCAAGGCTTGGAATTTTGGTGGTTTCGGGTTCCTTAATTCAGGGGTTCCTGCAAAGGTTCCTTTCAAGATTTGCTGAGCGCGATTCCTTCCGAAGTTTCATTCTGGAGTTCTTTTGAGGGTCCCATAGGGTTTTACCTCGGTTCAGAGTTTACAGAGATGGGGTTAGGGCCCGGCTTGGGGCCCTCAGGGTTTAAAGCTATGAGCTGCGGCTTCGAGTTTAGGTTTTTTGGGTTTGGGGCTGAGGGTCGTCACGGTTCAATTTCCGGATTTAGGGGTTCAGGGCTTGGGTGTTCAGGGGGTTTAGGATTGAACTATAGTAGGGGTTTAGGTTTCGGGTTTTGTGGTTTAGGGGGTTTGGGGTTTGGGCTTTGGCATGAGGATAAGCCGCGATGTTTTTGTTTTGAATTTGACGGCGCTGTTTCGGGAAAGGACTTGGGGCTGGATGGGCTTAGTCAGAAATGGGGGTAACTATTTGCTTAGGGTCCCAATCCCCATGTCCTCTATGTTCTGAAAACTGCGCCTAGAGCAGGACTTTCAGAAGCATGTAGGGCTTAAAGCCCATGCCTAGACAGCTTTTTGTTGCAACCCTTTGGAACTGCAGTACAAGGTTCCCAACCCCAAACCTCAAACCCCTAAATCCCAACTCCCCAAACCCGTCGGTTGGAGCGGACATCCTGCTGCCCAAACCGCAAGCATCCTCTTCTCTCCACGAAACCCCGTCAACAATCGGTTCAGAAGAGCCTAGGATCCGACAGGTTCACTTTTTTTGAATGATGGAATGGCAAACCATGTAAATTGCCACTGAGCCGCCAAACGGCCCCAAGTCCTACTTTGGGTTGAGGTTCTGTGATGTTTCAGGTTGCTGTCAGTGTTTCGACGTGGAGTTTTTGGGTCTACCCTACTAGCCTACCAAAACCTACCTGTGTTGGAGGTTACTATTACAAGCCCCAATATACAATTCATAGGGACCCCACCGTAAACCCTAGACCCTACAACAAAGTAGGTTCTGGTAGGTAAAGGTAGGTTTCTGTGGACCTAGGAGCAAAGCGCGGGTTCCGCAGCCATTTCGGCTTTCATGACGCCGGTGAAGGGCTCAACCATGCGTGCTGCTACACTCGTGTTTCCGATTGGCAGAGCGCAGCAAAAGACACTGAAAGACCCTAAACCCTAAGCCCGGCCGCCCTGCCATCACGCTTCAAAAAAAAACGCTTAAAGCCCAAAAGACGCTGAGAGAGACCCTAAACCCTAAACCCTGAACCCTAAACCCTAAACCCTAAACCCTGAACCCAAAAGACCCTCAGAGACTTTAACTGAACCCGAAGCCGAGACTCAAAACCCGCAAGCCCCTGACCCTCCAAGCTTTATCCCCAGTAGCCTGATGTGATCCTCCACTTCTACTTAGATCCCCCAATACCCAACCTTTAAACTTTTTGGGTTCTTGTAGTTTCATAGGAATCGGAAAGGTTAACCTTTTGTTTCTGTGGCTTATTGGGGCAGTAAGTTTATCCCAGTAGCCTTATGTGATCCTCTACTTCTAACCCACTTGCTAACCCTCACCCCGCAACCCAAATCCTAAACCACTGAATCGAACTCCTCAACCCTAAAACCGAAATCCGAAACCCTAAACCTACCACTCGTGCCCTCAACCCTAGAACCCTAAGCCCGAGATCCCGAAACCCTCAACCCTAAACCCGGAGGCTCTGCAAAGGAGTCCCCCTAAACCCTGAACCCTAAGCCCCTAGATCCTAAGTCCCCCTCAACCCTAAACCCTAAACCCTTACCTTGGGTTAGCAGGGAATGGAGGCATGGGGTGCAGTTATAACTACTACCACTACCATTCTTCCATTCCCTACTGACCGGAGGTAAGAACCCCTAGACCTAAACCCCTAAACCTTACAACCCTAAACCCTCAAACCCTAAAGCCCCAAACCCTCAAACGCAAGCCTTCGTAAACCCCTCGACCCTGAACCTAAGTCCCCCGAGCCTCCAAGTGGGGACATGGGCGATGCCCTCGGCCGCCCGAGCTCCTGCGAATGCTTGCGGGCTGCCTTCGACTGTGGCTTTTCCGGTTGGTGTATGAACCTGATTAAGAAAACTTGTGCCTTTATTTGGGTTCCTTGTATGAAATCTATTATTTGGGGGTTATAGGCCCAGGGTTTCTTAATCAGGTTTCGACATTAGGCTTTCAGGTTTGGGGGATCGTGGTTTTGGGTTTAGGGTTTCATGGGTAGTTATAAGGGTTCCTTTAAGGGCCCCTTTAAAGGGATCGATAGGGATTCTAGAAGGGTACAGGGTTTAGGGTCTACTTGGAGGCTCATGGGTAGTTATAAGTGGAGTTGTAAAGTAGAGTAACTGTAGTAATAACCCGTGTTATGTTAGGGGACTTATAACTCGACTTAGAACTACCCATGAACCTCCAAGTAGGGTTTAGGGTTTCGGGATTTCGGGTTTAGGGTTAACGGTTTAGGGAGAGGTTTAGGGTTTATAGGGTTTAGGTTTTCAGTTGCGGGTTTGGGTGCGTTTGGGCTTGAGGCTATTCCGGGTTACGGTTTAGAGTTTAGGGCTTTCGGGTTCAGGCTTTGGTGTCTAGGACTGAGAGCGTTTAGAGTGGAGATTGCCAATTGCGGGACACCTGCCAGCAAATCCGACGGATCAGGGTACCTTCAGGCAGAACAATCACCCTAGCTGGGATACTTGCACTAATTCACCTGAGCTTCCAAATGGGCCTAATACACCCTCCACAACCCTTTCCTGACCGTCAAATTCAATCGGCCCTCGCGGGAATGGATGCTTGTGACGGTCCCTTGTAGTAGTCCCTCTAACCATTCCCTGCTAACAACCAGGGAGTACTCCCGAAACACTAATATTCCAACCAGCCCAAAGCCGGAACACCAAAACCCTAAACCCCACACTCTCACGAATCCGGAATTTCATCGGAAGGGTATGTTTTCACCGTCAGCTCCACAGCTTCACCCTCAACCCGAAACGGAAGATAAGATGCCGTTTCCACGTAAAATCCTAAAGCCTGAACCCTGAACCCGAAACCCTGAACCCTAGCCCACAACCCGGCCCAGCTCCCCTCAGCCCTCTTCTCTTAGATCCCCAATACCCAACCTTTAAACTTTTTGGGTTCTTGTAGTTTAATAGGAATCGGAAAGTTTAACCTTTTATTTCTGTGGCTTATTGGGGCAGTAAGACAACCCAGCCCAGCTCCCCTCAGCCCTCTTCTCTACATCCAGCCTCTATTGAGGCTTTCTTCGGAGCGCTGGTCGCCTTTGCCGTCTTCGCAGATGAACGACCGCAGGCATGGAGTAGTAGTACTAGTAGTAGTAGCAGTAGCAGCAGTAGTAGTAGTGGTGGTGGTGGTGGTGGTGGTGGTGGTGGTAGTGGTAGTAGTGGTAGTAGTGGTAGTAGTGGTAGTAGTGGTAGTAGTAGGAGGAGGAGGTGGAGGAGCAGGAGGAGTAGGAGTAGGAGTAGGAGTAGGAGTAGGAGTAGGAGTAGTAGCAGTAGTAGTAGTAGTAGTAGTAGTAGTAGTAGTAGCAGTATTGGCAGGTAGCACGCCCTCGGCTCATAGCCCGAAGACGTGGTCTTACTCCGATATACTCAAAAACTCGGTTCTCCACCATATGACCCTAAACCCTAAACTCTAAATCCTAAACCCTGAACCCTAAACCGGAGTTTATGATTATGAGGTTCATGTTTGGGTAGGGGGGTGTCTTTATAGTGAACACCAGAAAGTTGGAACATGGATTTAGGAGGATCAGTGCTAGGATTCCTTATATACTCTGGTTTAAGGGCATGAGGCTAATGATCTTCCAACTTTCTGTCTTCTACTGTAGGTAGATGCCAATCATATCCCACCTGCTTACTAGCAGAATCGTGTCAGCCTTGTTTGCAATTCACACACGGTGGTATCCGCATGTGGGTGGGTGTCAAAATTTGGGTCCCTTTACGGGTACCCTAAATACTAGGTGCCCTATTGTATTAAGGACCCAGAAAGGGACCATAATTTTGGCAGTTGCCCATGTAGATCCCTTACGGGCTCCGTCGCGCTGAGGGGTCCAGAAATAAGAGTTCCCCAAGTTGGTCAAACGATCAAGAATGTATATAGGTTTTCGGGGATTAGGAGCTGAATGTGCCATAATGGAGACTATGCTAGGATCCGGTTATGCAGACCCATTAAAGAAAGGGGGTTCATTCTTCAGCGGTTTACCTTGTTGCACTACTTGGAGGATCAGGGGACTTTGTAAGTAAGCTTGTAAGTCCCCTAAATGGGGTTATAAGTATTTATAGGTAAAGCTACTCTAATTATGTCCCTAGTTACAAAGTCCCCTGATCCTCCAAGTACACCCAAGACCTTGCTCGAGCCAATCGCAAGAATTCCCTAGGCAAGCCTTGACCGGCACACCTCAAAACTCACAGCAGGCCGAAACCCCCACCCTACACCGAGAACCTCAGAATGTTCGTCCCATAAATCCTAAACCAAGAATTGATCCAGTCATTCACAAAGTGGGTTTGAGGCCTTGTGTTGGGGGTCTCAGATGCAAGGAACCCACGAACCTCCAACCAGAAAGCCCCAAATCGCTGGAGCCCCAAAGCCCTTCATCCACGGCTTAGGGTTGGGGGCTTAGCGGTGGCCGAAAGACCTACCTTCTTGCGGTTGTTCTATATAGCTAAGGTCTTTGTGTTTAGAAACAATTCCCATTTGTGAGCCCGCAAGGCTCGTTTCGTTTGCCCTGGGCCACGGCGGCTGCGTAGCCCACGGCCCGTCCGGGCGCTGTCTGTATCGGCGTGGCTGGGCTTAAAGTACCTTGGGGTTCAGGATTTTAGGGTCGGGGCTGTGTGATTAACTGATTAGGGTTTAGGGCTTGGGTTTGGGCTTAGGGCTTAGGGCCCCGAACCTGGGGCTTAGTGCTTTGGGTTTAGGGTTTTAGAGTTGAGATTAATCCATGGCTCACGGTTGTTAACACGTCGCAGCGTTCGCCAAGAGCAGGTTCCTGAGCAGTACTTGGTTCTTCTCCTTGTTAAATCTGAAAATGGGGGTTTCCGAAAATTAGGGGTATACCTTATTTTGGGGCCCTTATCATAAGGATCCTATTATTTAGGGTACTATATTAGGGTCCGAATTTTCGGAAACTCCCTTTTTGGGAAAAGGGGTACCCTTCTAGTGTAAAGGGGCTACTTAGGAACCTCGTTGACCAGGGAACTACGATGCATCCCTTGTTGCTTCAGGGCTATGGGTCTAGGGCTGGAGCTGAGAACTTAGGGCTTTGGGTTCTGGGATTGCTCTGGGATTTCTGGTAAGGGGTTCAGAGTTCTGCCCTCACTTGTTGGTTCAGGGTTGAAACGCCGCACCACCCTAAGACCTAACGTCTATGGAAGCCCTCTCGAGCTTTTGGATGCCTTGAGAACACGCTGTTGGACAAAAATTGGCCCAAGTGAGGCGATGCTGATCGACAAAAGCGGCAAGTATTTATAAACGGGCTGAAGAAATGCTTTACAACAGACCCTGAATTACCGAATGCTTTTAAAACCCTTGTGGAACTCTCACCAAAGAAGTTGACAGAACTGACAAGAAGCGTTTGTCGAATTCTCTCATGATCGCTCCGTCCGGTGCCATACACCCAACAACCCAAACCATCCCTGATCCCTAAACCCTACCTGGACCCTAAAGAACCTAGGGCTCCTTCTTGTGATTTCCTTATATAAGTCATTAAAAGGGGTAGGTTATTCCGGGTTAAGGTAAACCTGGAACCCAGAACCTTAATCCCTCAGGCCGGAAACCTGAACTCTACACCCTGAACCCTAAACCCTAAACGCTAGAAGGTCCGAGGTCAGCTTTTGGCCCAGTCCGGTTCCTGGCGAGATGTCCCAGGCAGCCGGCGACAAGAATGGTTCTATAGGGGTTGGGGGTTCTATTGAAGGTTGTTTTGGGGTTCTGTATATACGTTTTGTTTTTTAAACAGGGTTCTCTATGTTTTTAGAAACGTTCTTTAAGGGCTCTAGAAGGGTCCTGAGTGAGGGAGTTGAGTTTCCGGATTAAGAGTGGGCTCTGTTTGAGGGTTCGAGTCGGTTTCGAATTTGATTTGGCTTAGGGATTTAGAAGGTTTAGGGTTTAGGGTTTATTAGGGTTTAGGATTTATTAGGGTTTAGGGCTTATTGGGGTTTAGGGTTTACGGTTTATTAGGGTTTAGGGTCTAGGGTTGTAGGCTTTGCCCCGAGCGATTTCATTTTTCCACATGCTGGCTGTACCGACACTCAACGCGACGCCTGTCAAGTCCTTCGGGCGAAATATCTGTTACGCATTCATTGTTTCTGGACCACTCTAGTAGGCTGCATGCCTGGATAGGTTAGCTAAGTGAGAGTTTCCGAAAATAGGGGGACCCTAATACAGTACCCTAAATAGTAGGATCCTTATTATAAGGGACCCGGAAAAATATTTTCGGAAACTCCCAAGTGGACCTGCACAGGTCGTCTCCAGGTTTGAAGCAAAGTTTACATGAACATTAACTAGGTAGGGCTTTGGGACATTTTACATTTTCCCTTATTGGGCTTAAGAGGATCTTACTTACTAATATTTTTCACAAGCTTTAAAAGCCCCACCTAGTTAAACGTACCGTAAACCATACGCCAGTAGATAAAAACGCAGGCCCCCATGACGTGGTTTTCTGTTTTAAAACCTGTGCGTCCGAAGCATTAAACCTTAACGACGAAATGAACCCTAAAAGGCCTGAAGGCTCATGAAATATCGGGATTCATACTATAAGGGTTCAGGGCCCTAACTTTTAAGCGTCATTTGGTCCGTGTAAAGAAGCCTCAAGCCCCAAACCCTAAACCCCAAACCTTAAACCCTAAACCCCAAACCCTAAACCCTAAGCCCCAAGCCCCAAACCCTACACCTCAAACCCTAAACCCTAACCCCGAAACCCTAAACTGCCCTAAAACCTCAAACCCTACACCCCATACCCTAAACCCTAAACCCCATACCCTAAACCTTAAACCCTAAACCCTAAGCTCCCAAAAAAAGAAACTTAAAACCCGAAACCCGAGCAGGTCGATCCCGTGGCATCCTTCGCACTGGGTACCTTCATCGGTTCCCTCATGGGCTTCGCTCCTTTGGCCGCAGCGAAGTTCGTTTTGAGCTCCGTTTGGGTCTGGAGGTGTAGGGTTTAGGGTTTAGGGTTTAGGGTTCCATATATCTGAAGCCTGAGGTTCAAGGGTTTAGGGTGTAAAACCTTAAAACCTAGACCTAACCATCCTCAATCCCAAACCCTAAGCCTCAAACCCTAAACTCTTCAACCAAAATCCCTCATAACTTGGCGTTCTTCTGGTTGACTCTTAGGACTTCAAGTTTTTGGGTTTCTATATGAACTATAATAAGGAGGCTAAAAGTTTAACTTTTAGGAGGGGTTCAGAAGTCAGCCAAGATAAACCCTCAACTCTCAACTCTGAACCTTCATAAACTCTAAACCTAAACTCTCCGCCAAGGCTGCGGCTTGTAACGGGTCCTGCAAAGCGAGTTGATAAGAGTAACGTGGGCCGCCTAGTTTCCTGAGTAATACCCTTTGACCCTTTTCTATATTAAGGATCCCCATTTCCAAACCGAATAATAGGAACAATGGTAGGTAGCCTTATCATAACGGGACTACTCAGGAACCTAGTAGAAGCATTGTACAGTGTCAAGTAACATAGATTACATAGCCCGACCTACCCATGATCTGCTGAGTTCCCAAGCAAAGCGCAGTTGTTTGTATCTGCCATCGGTCCAGCGTGCTCGGGTTTCGGCTTCCGACTTCGGTAGCCCTCTGTTGCAGGAGGCCGAAACCGAAAGCGTGAGTTCAAGCACGCTCAGCCCCAAGTGCGACACTCCCACCAAGACCCTACAATCCTACAGGGGCCTTATTTATTCGACAAGGGTTTTGGGAGATATCTTTAGGGTTCCTTACAGAGCTCCTGAAAGGATTCTACAAGGGATCTATGGGGGTTTAGGGTTTACTAGGTTCCTGAGTGGTACCCTTTTGCCCTTTTTGGTGCTCCACTCCAAGCTCGCGCGGTCACTCTTATGTCAAAGGGGAAAAGGAGAGACCCTTAATGGGGACCCCCACCCTACAATGGGCTATATAATGGGTATATCATAGTTATATTAGGGGTATATACCTAGGGTCCCTATTAAGGGTCCCTCCTTTTACCCTTGGACTATGGAATTTTAAAGTCAGAGCTCGAGCTCCGGTTCCCTAGCTGGTTCTTCAACACACTGTGGATGGACAATATCCTGCATGACCCAATATAAAGAATATACCATAATTCCCATAGATTAGGGTCGTGAAGGTCATGCAGGGTTCTGTCCATCGACACAAGGCCGTCCGGCCTCTGACCCAGCAAGATGTGGATCGATGGCCGCGGGAGGGTTGCAAGTATCAGTTCTTAGATCCCCAATACCCAACCTTTAAACTTTTTGGGTTCTTGTAGTTTAATAGGAATCGGAAAGTTTAACCTTTTATTTCTGTGGCTTATTGGGGCAGTAAGAATTAGTTCCGTCGAAGCTCGTCCACACACTCAAAGCACACACCGGCCATCGCAAAGCCAGACGTGTTTCTTGTAGAAACATTGAGTCGCACTCGATCTACCACAGGCACGAGTGCTATGCCGGGGGAGTATATTAGGCAAAAAGGGTACCCTGATTATTGATTGGTCTCTGAGGAACCCAGATAATTAGAACAGGGTGTTTGGGGTATATCGATTATACCAGAATAAGCAGCCGCAACAGTAGTATGGGTAGTCATTTCGGGCCCTACAGTAAATGCCAAAAGTCTTAGCAACTGCACGTTTTTGCGAGTTTGGCCTCGAGGTCGAGACCCCACATAACCTACACGGTTTAGGATTTAGATTAGGTGCGGCCCCCATACACTAAGAGTCTATAAGAGGGCTACTAGTAAGGTCCTGCTATATCTATATTATGAATATTACTCAACTATTACTGAGTGGGGGCCATACCTAACCTACATGGTTTAGGAGTTAGGTCTTTCAGGAAATCATAATGGGTAGCCCCCAAGAAAGAAGGACGAATCTCAGGTCTCCCTCTTCGTCGTCCTGCGGAAGTTCGTCCGGAACCTGCAGGTGCACAGGGGCGGGTTTCCCAACATGAGTTTCTGTTTAGGGTTTAGGGTTTAGGGGTTTGGGGTTTAGGGTTTAGGGGTTTAGGGTTTAGGGTTTTAGGGCTCAGGGGTTTAGGGTTTAGGGGAGGTTTTCATGGGCTTTTGTTCGGGATGGGACCCTAAACAGGGTTCACACAGACTTACGAAGACTCGTGAAAGCCGGCCCAAAGCCAGTCATCAGGAGGATGACTTGGATGGGGCGAACTGGAGCTCCTTTGGCGGCCTGGTGTTGCCATCTTTCTTCTTTCAGGCCCTGGGGTTTAGGGTTCAGGGGTGCAGAGCTTCAGGGTTTAGGGCTTAGGGTGTAGACATGTAGAGCTTTAGGGGTTAAGGGAGTTTGGCGGTTTGAGAGCACCAGAAGGGTGTGAGCAGTTGGTAAACACGTAATGATTACACAGCCCCTAAGCCCCAAACCCCAAAAACCCAAAGCCTTCAAGCTTCGAGGGGTGAACAAGTAGTAATGCCGTCTCCAGAAAGCCCAATACTCCCTAACAGAGACATATACCTTAACGTATAGGGGCCTTAGTATTCGATTTAAGGTATATTCCTTCATGCAGGGATGTTGGGCTCTCTGGGTCTGTCAGGATCTCGTGGTTTACTTGTTTGATACTGTTGATGGGCAAAATCCTGCATGACCCATGATAAGGAATATACCATAGTTCCCATAGTTTCGGGTCCTTAAGGTAATGCAGGATTTTGTCCATCAGCAGTAGCATGGGCCCCGCAGGATTGTCAGCTGTGGGCCCCGTGAAGCCTAGTTGGGTGCACTCTGAAGGTGGGGGGTCCTTTAAGGGCTCCTTGATGGGTTCCACCCGCAAAGTAGACCTGCAACGGCGATATCGGGGTTTAAGTAAATATGAATACTATTTTGGGATTCCTTATTATAGCTATAGTATAGTATACCCCAAGCCTTGTTCTAATTATTAACGCCTTTACATTAGTTGCACAAGGAGGTGGCATCATCTTTGCGGACGATTCAGACGCGTTGGAGTACAAGCTGTAGTGCCGGAGTATTTCGTCGTCATCACCATCATGAGCCTCCATAAGACCCTAAACCCTAAATCCTAGACAGTCCCTATACCCTGCCGATAAGCCTCCGACAGGTTTTATGATGTAGGGGCTTAGACCATTACCGATACTATTTTGGGCGTGCTGCCTAATTACAACTACAGCATAGTGGGCCCAAAAACCCTACTCTAATTATTAAGGCCGTATCTTATAGAACCCTTATGGTAGCCCAAATAGAATCCCTTAAAGGAGCCCATAACCCTATTCTAGTTCTTAAGGTCCCTATATTAAACAAAGCTGCTGAACACGAGGGGCTCTCTGGATTCCAACCCCCGAGCCCCAAAAGTCGACATGCGCCCCCGGAAGGTTTAGGGGTTTAGGGGTTTAAAGATTCAGGGGTTTAGGGTTTAGGGGCTTGGGTAGAGGGGTTTAGGTGTATAGGTGTACAAGGGTTTAGAGGTTTCGGGTTTAGGGGTTTAGGGTTCAAGGTTTCAGGGCTTGGGGTTTAGGGTGTCACAATCCTGCCAGGGGGCTGCCGACATCTACGGTAACGTGCGGGAAGTTGCTGCCAAAGCGCAGCAGCAATTCAGGAGCCAAGATAACTTACCTTTGGTTAGTAGGGAATGGAAGAATGGTAACCCTAAACCCTAAACCCTACCCCCTTCCTCCGTTCCCTACTAACCGAAGGTAAGATAAGCGTCGGTGCGAAAGTTTCTGCCCCCTAAACAAAAAAGCCAGCAGAAAGCCCAAAGCCAAAGGGCTGAAGGGTGGAGGGTATAGCCAAACCATAACAAGCCCAGCCCTAGAGCCATGAAAATCATGATCCGAAGCCAAAGTACTACAGCCCCCCAAAGCCACAAAGCGCCGTAAGACCAACACCAAACCCTAAACCCTAAACCCTCAACCCTAAGCCCTAAACCCTAAAACTCAGTAGACTCAAGACCCGAGAGCCCTGGAGCCCTAGAGCCCTAAGCCCTGAACCCTGGACCCCAAGTCCTGAACCCCAAATTCTTAAAAAACCCGAAGCCGAACCGAGACCCGAAACCAAAAGAACCTAGACTCAAAGGGGAAAAAAGGAGGGACCCTTAACGGGGACCCTACCCTATAATGGGCTATATAGTGGGTATATAATAGCTATATTAAGGGTATATACCTAGGGGTCCTTATTAAGGGTCCCTCCTTTTACCCTTGGACAGACCCCTAATCCCAGAAACCTGATACCTGCTTCAGTATAGGGGTAGTTGTCAGAACTATGGTCCCTTTTTGGGTACCCAAAATGTTAGGTGCCGTATTATAATAGGGGCCCAAGAAGGGACCATAATCTTGACAACCTGCTCCTTTAAGGGTTCCCGACAAGGGATTTATACGGGTTCTATAAAGGGTTTAGGGCTTAGGGTTTAGCGTTTCCGAAAATTAGGGGTGCCTTACTTTGGGGTCCTTGTAATTAGGATCCTAGTATGAGAATCCTATGTGGGTACTATGCTGGAGACAAGGGATACATGGGCTTCATGGTGCTTGGGGCTTGGGTTTTTCAGACTATAAGATCCCGGAGCCCGCCCTGCACCCCTACACCCTAAACCCTATAAGATCCCGAAGCCCTACATTCTAAGCTAAGAAGGTCTAGGGTTTAGGGTTTTAAGTCAAGCGTAGGCTAAACATAAGTATCAAGGGGGGCAAATCCGAGACTATGAAGCACCCTAAACCATCAATACTTAAAATCCCTGAATCCGAAACCCTACAAATTCTCTACCCTGAACCCTAAACCCTAAACTGTGGCCCGAACCGTCAGCCTGAAGCTAGGAGCACGTCGACATCACCGGAGAAAGCCTACGCCGTACATCCTCAATCCTGCGCCGGCGACAGGAGCACTGGCGACTTTGAGGACATCTACAAAAGCATCGAGGATGCGCAGAAGGATGGGAGCCTTTAGGCTAGGGTCCCTTTCACATCCCAAATATAGTACGGCACCAAAAAGGACCCTAAAAGGGATGAAATTGAGAGAATTACCCTAGACCTCTTTATCCTGCATTCTTAAACCGTGTTACATTCGTTGTTTGAGGCAAGTCCTTCGGACATTCGTGGTTTAAGGCAAGTTTTGGCTTAAATCAACAATGGCCCAAGGTCGGTGGGTTTTTTTTGGTTTAAGTGGCGGTTTGTTTGCCCACTCTTTGGCCACGAGCCGCCTTTCAAGGCAAGCTTGACACCGACCTTCGGTAATTCGTGGTTTAAGGTAAGTCATTCGTGATCAGAAAAGCATAGAATTTAGGTCTTCAGGATTTAGGCTTTAGACTTTAGGGTTTAGGTTTTAGCTCTGGGGTTGTCGAAGGGCAAATGCCAAAATCGGATCGTAGCTCAAGAAGTATGGTTCGAGGGAGTGAAAATGTGAATCTAAACCCTATGAGGTTCATGCTCTAGGGTTTAAAAGGAAACAATGGTTTCTTAATGTTCTGAAAATCTGTCTGGACCCTAAAAAAACCCTAAACCCTAAACCCCTAAACCCTAAACCCATAAACCCATAAACCCCTAAACCCTAAACCCATAAACCCATAAACCCCTAAACCCTAAACCCATAAACCCATAAACCCTAAACCCTAAACCCCAAATCCCTAAACCCCGAGAGCAAAACCTGATCCCTGCAGTTCAGGAGCAGGTGCTCAATGGCCTGCGCGCTCTGCGCGATCGATTCCCGAGGTCGCCTGGCGGTGTAGACTTTCGTTTATGCTCGGTTTAGGGTTTATGGGTTTAAAGGTTCAGGGGTTTAGGGTTTAGGGGCTTGGGTATAGGGGTTTAGGTGTATAGGGGTATAGGGGTTTAGAGGTTTCGGGGTTTACGGTTTCGGGCATTGGGGTTTGGGGCTTTAAGGGTTTAGGGATTCATAGCCGTGTATCGTTTTCCTAGTAGTAGAGTAGGTAACCTTTATAACCTTTTTGGGGATACTACAATCCCTACACAACCCCAACATACTCCCAAAGGTTCACCTTTGGTTCCCCAGGATACTAGACAAGTAGGCTTTTTTGGTCAATGATTGTGGCCTTCACTGTGTAGGGTCAAAGCAGGTATTGAGGATTGGGGTGCAAGGAGCACGAGTATTCAAGTCATATAGTTTCGCAGTGTCTGCAGAATGCATGACTGAAACTACAAAGCAACATTAGCCCACAAACCTGTACTGCAACGGGAAAACGTGCATGGTTTCGCAGTTTGTATCTCCATGTATCCATGCGTATGGCTTTAGCGTCTGGGGTTGAGAGGAAACCCAAAGTTCACAGTCCTTCAGGAGCAAATCGCGGGAAAGGGTTTTTGAGCGCATCAAGGACCCGGGGGCATACACATTCAGCTGTCGCAAGATCGAATCTTTGTGGATTCCTGCCAGTCTTGGGGGGAATTCCTTGCGCAGTTTGACAGCCGTGCCTAAATAAAGCCTAAACCCAAGCTCAGTATTCGTCAGATGAACGCAAGGACTCGGAGGTTAAGACCTTACAAGCCCTCCCTGCCTTTTTCACACACCCTGCTGCCCTGAGCAGCCCTAGGCGGTGTACCCATAACGCCCAATACTCCTCAATTAAGGAATACACCTTAAATTAAAGGGGGCCTGTATATTATGATTCAAGCAATTCCGTATTGGTCTCTCTGGGTACCCTGAGACCCCCCCAAAAAACAGACCAGGAAGCTCAATATAAGTCGGTATTGGGCTCTCTGGGTACCCTAAACCATCAAAACAGACCATGAAGCTTGACATTGAACCCTGAACCCTAAACCGGGGTTCCTGTAAAGGAACTCTTAAAGGATCCTTTAAGTGTTCCTCTAAAGGAATCCTTCAAAGCATCCTTTGATCCTTTAGGACGTTAGGCGTTCCTTTACAGGAGCCCTTCCCCGTAAAGGAACTTTGAAAAGAGCCTGTCAGCCCTCATCTTCTGTTAAAGGGTTCCTTTTAACCCTAAACCCTAATCCCCTAACCCTAAACCCTAAACACACTTTAAAAAAACAAAACCCTAAACCCCTAACCCCTCAAACCTTAAGCTCTGAACCCTGGAGCAGCCCCCCGCTTTCGGAGGATCTGGTGGACCGCGAGCCGATTGCCGCCTCGGTCTACGACTTGGCCTTGCGCCTGCAACCCATGGTCCCGGCCACCCGGCGTGCTTTGGGGACCAGGGGTGTAGGGTGTAGGGTTTGGGGTTTAGGGTTCGGGGTTTAGGGTGTAGGTCTAGGGTTTAGGGTGTATACGGTTTGAGGTTTAGGTTGTAGAGTTTAGGGCTTTGGGTTTAGGGTGTAGTGTTTAGTGTTGAGGGCTTCGAGTAATCAACTCACGCAGAAGATACGCATGTATGTATGCAATATATGTATGTATATATGTAATGATATACATATATACATATATACATATATATGTATATGTATATATGCCTGATGCATGCATGTAATGTGCGTGTACATGTATGCGCAGGTGAAGGTGGAATGGTATAAGTTACAAGCAAAAGTTGATCTGTATCTGATTCTGCAGGTGTATACACACATACACCTGTATAATTTACGTGTATGTATTCGCATGTAAACCGTGTGTATATGTATATATATATATATGTATATATATATATATATGTATATATATGTATATATATATATATATATATGAATGTGCGCATGTATATGTGCATACGTACCGCTATATGCGAGAGCAAGATGTGCACACGCTCACATTTGTTCAGTGTTGTAGCCTCTGTAGCCCTAACGGCCCTAACCATAAGCCCTACACTTAAGGCAGTAGCATTTTCTTGTTTGACAGGCATTGGTTTGTAAGGTGTGCAGCGAGGTTCGGAAATAGGGTTTGAAGCCGCAGTTTTCGAAATCATCGTAATGCCACTCTTCTTCACGACTGTTGCTGGTTACTTGAGTTTTTCGCCGCCTTGAAGATTTTTGGTTCCTCTCGTTTAGGGAGACTCGCTTCCTTAATTCCATGCTGCGCTTCGCCAGAGGTGTAGGGCATGCTTGAAGCTTCGCACGTCGTTCACTCACCTGCAGGATTTCCAGCTTTCAGGTTCAGTTTTGGATGGCAAATTTCCATCCACATTGCTTAACACGCATGGGCACTTGTGATTAAGGTTGTCTGAGTTGGGGTGTAGCTACCCATAGCTCGTAGAGCCAATCTTAAAATGGCTTGACTTGTGGAACTTTTGGCAAGGCCCCACGAACTGAAGTCATGAATATTTTGTGCTCGGAGACTTTCGAGCTGGTGCTACAATATATGAGCCACGATAGCCACTAGTACTGTTTCATGATACGTCCTGTAAGAGTGTAATACAAGCTACCTCCAACTTCTATACTGCTTGTTTTGCTGCTCTGTGTCACTTGACTATGGGGGGGTCAAGTTCTTTCGGAGTATCTGTTGTTTTGTTTGAAAGCACCGCCCCAGCATCCTGTTCCCGTCTGAACACCGTAGCCCCCCCAGCATCGTCAATACCATGCCACCTGAAACACTGTGATCAGCCCTGCACCCTCGGTCTACATGTTGAATTGAGCCAGCCTACAAAAAAGTAGGTTTTGGCAGGTTAAGGTAGACCTTGAAGCAAGGATAAGTCCAACGTCTACAACGAGCTGCTCGCTTGATTCAGACCACTGCTATGTCCCTTCCTTTTCCTTGTATTCTTTATGGCTTTGGGTTCAAGATTTCGGGTTCCTGCTCTGGGAATCGGGCATTCGGGACTAGCGTTTAGGAATGAGGGCACTCGGTTTAGGAATTAGGCCTTTTTGGGCTTTTGGGCATGTTGATCGAAGGATTCGGCATTTTCTGTACTTTCTCAATGAGGGGCTGTCCTTGTAGTCTCACCTACCCTAATCTACCAAATCTGACTTTTTTTGCAGGGTCCCTACAAATTCTATGTTCGGGTTTATCGTAAGAACCTACAAAAGCGTAGGTTTTGGCAGTTGAAGGCAAGCCTGAGTCTTTAAACCCTGAGGATGAGCGGAAACAGAGGCTGTTCCACCGTGTCAGCCCTTGCTTGTCGGAGTCATGGTCCCAGTCCCTCAGGTGCTTCTATACAATGCAAAATATGTGTGCATATATATATATATACACACATATGTACATGTGTATATATATATATATATATATATATAAAATGAGTATTTATATATGTAGGAATGAAAGAACGTATGTATGTATACGTATATATATATATATATACATATATATATATATATATATATATATATGTATATAGATGCGGGGTACTTTAAGGGTCAAAGTATTTGCCATATAAGCACATGGACCCTCGTACCCTAAACCCTTTTGGTACCCTTAAAGAACCCGTCAGGCATCATTGCTAAAACTTAAAGGAACCCTGGGTACATGGACCCTTAGGGATTGTACAGTTAAGCAAAAACCCCAATGCAATCATAAGAAGTAGATGGATGTGGCCAGTAGAAGATTCACTCTGACCTCGCTCTGCAGTGTAAGAGGACAAAACGTCCTCTGTTGAAAGCGCTTGAAATATCTACAACCTCAAACTCAAATCCTTGAGGCTGTGGTCCTTGGACGAGAACCGATGCAGCGTCAGCGGTCGACTGCCGGGCGAGGGAAAGCGGCCGTTTGCCAATGCCAGCGCCCAGCGCCTTGCTACCTACTAGACCTTGGTCTCGGGGTTTATCAGGGTTCTCCGTTGCGGCTTTTCTAGGACATTAAAGCTTGGTTTAGGGCTTTATCAGGCTTCTGTACTTACGGTTTTACTAGGTGTTGTGACGATATTTAACCTTGGCTTAGGGCTTTATCAGGTTTCTATGTTTACGCTTTTACCAGGTGTTATGGCCATTGCTGCCTGGGTTGTTTATGACTTTATTTGCATGTTGCAAACTTTTGTAGAGTTAAGTACCCTAAAAGGCGGTCCTAATTAATTGGGTTTATGTACCTATATGTGTACGAAGTAACTATTCACTAAGTCCCCCGACCCTCCAAGTAGTGTTAGGGTGTTTAGGGTGTAGGGATTAGGCTTTAGCGCGGATCCTCTGAGACCCCGAGGATCCTCATCGACACGCAGGCCCCGGCCTCGCGGCTCACCGACATGCGCACCTGGGCGCTGGGGTGTTTAGTAGGTTTTAGGGTGTAGGGTATTTAGGGTTTACCGAAGTTTTAGGGTTTAGGGCTTTAGGGCTGTGGCCTTTGGGGTGTAGTAAGGGTTTGAGGCTTTGGGGGTTTAGGGTTTAGAGACGCGCTGGGTGTTTACAGAAGGCTTCTAGCAGTTTCCAGGCTTGTGGAGCGTTTGCTTTTCTTGTTTTGTCTGTGTTTTGACGGGGTTGGGAGAGTAAGTAGCATCGTTCTGCAGGTTTTCGTTTGGTTTTTCGGAGTTTGAGTCTGAAATTTTTAGTTTTAGGGTTTCTTGTGAGGCTAGCCGGTCAGTAGTGAAAACGGCGTACCTACTCATATTTCAAGTAGCATTGACAATCTTGTTGTCGAGAATAATTTCAGTTGCGTTAATTGTAAATCTGGGTAGTGCTAATATATCGTCACATTCATTGAAGTCCTCCATCTTGATTTGAGGCAGCCGCGAGGCAATTCTGTTCCTTTGTACTCTGCCAAACCGTCTATAGCTAATCATCTCCGTAGTTGCTGGCAGAAGATGGTTACCATACCGGTAATGACGCTGATGACCCGAACCGCGTCTTGTTGGATACTGTTCTGACCCTAGACCCTACCGCTCTCTCTTCAGGCATGGCCCCGCGCCCCCTCTTCGCAAGGGTGGCGCCCGAGGTGCTCCGTGAGAGAGGTATAATTGAGGGTCGTTCATGCCGGTATGTCATCGGGTTTTATGGGGCTTGGCAGGGTTTAACAGGGGCGCCAAGGTTATTGGGATACCGTACTGCGGGTGTATGATAAACTATCTTCACGGGTACTACGACGAGGGGATATCGCTTTAGCTTGTTCAGACCTTAATGGGTGGAGCTAGAGTGGCTCGGAGGTTTAAAGCGTAAAGTCTGTAGATCTCCAGTGGGGGTTTATCTTGATGTTTCCTGGGTTCTTTACAGGGGGCTTAGGGTTCAAGACATTAGGGCTTTGAGGGTTTGAGGGCGGAGGTTTGTGATTTAGGCTTTTTAAGTTGTGAGGGTTTGCGGATTCAGGGTGTGTAGAGGTTTAGTGTTCGGATATAGGGTCCAGGGTTTCGGTTTTGAAAGTTTAGGTGATCTTGTAGTACTGTCTGTGGGTTCAGCTGGGGAAAGCACTCTGTACTTCCAATGTACCTGAATCAAGAAATCTGAGTAACCATCCATGCTTTAGAAGCGCATCCAGCATTTCTATGATGGTGCGCGCAAAAGCCCTAAGCCCTAACCCCTAAGGATGTGTCCTCCCATGTGGTTTTCAAGAAGCGCTTAGCCCTAGAGTTCCTGCGCGGCATGCCCTAAGTTCGGTTTAGGGATTAGGGGTTTAGGGGTTCAGGGTGTATAGGGTGTATAGGGGTTTGGCCACCCTAAACCCTGAACCCTGCACCCTAAATCCTGCGGCAGCTTTCCTACCCAAGGGGACCTGAGCTTCCGAATTTTGCGACAGCTGCTTCCCGTCTGCCTTTATATACCCTTTGCGCGCCTTTCTTTTCCTTCGTGGCAGCCCCCAATCAAGGAAGATACTGAAACATAAAAACTCATTAAGAGTCAATAAAGATACAGATGTATACAGGTGTTTACATATGTTTGTATAGAGAGGAAGAGACGGACACCTGTTGAACAATGGGAATCCACATACTAGGGATGTACAGAGCCCATATTTTCGTCAGGTGAACCGGTTTAGGGTTTAGGGTTTACTGTAGGTTTCAGGGGCCCCAGCAAAAACTCTACAAGAAACCCTGGCTGCTCAAATATAGTGGCCTGAGTCTATCTGCGCAGAGTTCCTAAATCCTAAACCCTAAAACCCTGAACCCTAAACCCTAAAACCCTAAAACCCTGAACCCTGAACCCTAAAACCCTGAACCCTAAACCCCTTGCGCCATGGACGACCTGTGGAACGTCTCAGATCTCGGCAGCGGAAGCGATGAGGACAGCTTCCCAGAGGACAGCAGGTTTCCAAGGTTTTCGGGAGATCCCTTTTAAAGGAACCGTTTAGGATTTAGGGTTTAGGGTTGAGGGTTTAGGACTAAGGGTTTAGGCTTTAGGGTTGAGGGTTTAGGATTGAGGCTTTAGGGTTTAGGGTTTAGGATTCAAGTTTTAGGGTTTAGGGTTGAGGGAGCTTAAAGGACATCTTTCGAGGAAACCCGGTAAGGAAACAAAGCCCTAAACCCGAAGCCCCTAACCCCTTAAACCCAGAGCCAGCTAAAATCCCAGTTTGGGTGTCGCCTAGTAGCAGCGATTGCAGAGAGGATGATGACAATGACGTTGATGTCGCGAGGCTTGCGAGCATGCTCTTCAGCCTGCACAGAATTACATGGCCGGTTTAAGGTTTAGGGTTCAGGGCCTACGGCTTAGGGGTTCAGGGTTTAGGGTTTAGGGTTCAGGGTTTAGGGTTTATGTAGGGCTTCGGGAAGCCATAGCCTAACCCTCAATCAATGTTATTCCGGACTCACCATCCAAGACCCATGCTCGAACTTTCTGGAGCACTGTGCAAACTACAAACCCTAAGCCCCTTGCACACCCCATAGGCCTCAAATAGCACGTGCTTCCTTCAGCGTCGGAGGCTGGATATCGACATACCGGTGGCACGTCAGGCGCTTCGAAGCGCCAGGGGAGACTTCCAAGAAGCCATCGACATCGCTTCGGATCTCATCGCGACTCGTCCAGCCATTATGTGAAGTAGGTCGAGTGTCCCAAAAAACGGTTCTTTATTCGACAAAACCCTAAACCCGAAACCGTTTTTTAGGGTCTTTACGGGTTCTATAAGGCTTCTCTTAGGTTCTCGGCCTTCCAGAACTTAAAAAGCCTAAACACCCTACACCCCAGAACCCTGAAACCCTAAATCCTAAAGTCCCAGACCTAAAGCTCCTACTTGGAGGGTCGGGGGACTTGATAAGTAGCTATTTTGCAGACTTATAAGTATCATAACCCCAATTATTGTCCCTTTTAGGGTACTTGTAAGTCTACTTATTACCTACTTACTAAGTCCCCCGACCCTCCAAGTAACGCCAAACCCCAAACCGAAATCCGTAAGCTCCTAGTTCCTTAAACTCTTCGTCCTAACCTCTTTTAGACCCCTTAAACGAACACATGGCAGGAATCCTTAAGGTAAACCCAAAACCCTAAAACCCCAAACCCTAAGCCCTGTAAGCCTAAAGCCTGAACCTTAAACCCTGAACCTTAAACCCTAAACCCTGCGGAAAACGGGCCCTTAAAAAAGTGAAACCCTAAAGCCTACAAAATCCTAAGTGTTGAAGCCCTGCGGAAAAGGGCCCTTAAAAAAAGAAACCCTAAAGCCTAAAAAATCCTAAGATGATCTGGATGTAGTTGAGAGCCGACCGCGGGCAGACGTACAAGTCAACTCAACCTAAAAAACCAAGTGAAAAAGCCCCGAGCTTCGATTCGAAAAGGCTCCGCGGACATCGTCGAAGAGAAAGCTGCTTGGGCGCTGGGTTGGGTTTAGGGTTTTGTGGCTCTAGGTCTTTAGCGTTTTAGGGTTTTAGGGTTTAGGGTTTGGGGTTCCTTTAAGGATTTGAGGTTTGAGGGTTTTAGGTTTTTGGGGTCTCGGGTTTAGGGTTTTGGCGGTCCGTTTAAGGGTTTGGGGGTTTAGGTATTAGGGGTTTAGAACGGCGGCCAAGATCCGGCAAAAGCAAGCGAGGTGCGCCGGCCAGCGTTTTCAGAGTTAAGGCAACCCTCGTACCTTGTGGATTTTGGGTCTTCAGGTTTCGGAGCTTTAAAATAAAAGCCAGAAAGTTGGAATATGATTATCCTAAACCCTTTATGGTAAATTATAGGGTATCCTACCCTGAAACCATATTCCAACTTTCTGGAGTTCCCTTTACTATAAACCCTAAACCCCTAAACCCTAAACCCTAAACCCTAAACCCAGGTTTCGGGGCTTTAGGGTTTTCGGGTTTGGGGTTTCGGGTTTTATCATGCCCTAGTTCCCAGGTCATCCTCCCTTGGGCCTGGGGTTTTCTTAGATCCCTTCTCTTTGGGCCCGGGGAGGGACCCTTAAGGGGGACCCCTACTTAAAGGATCATGGGACTTAGTAACTAGGGTTATTATTAAGGTAACTATACTTATAATCACTTATAACCCCAATTAAGGTACTTATAACCATACTTACTAAGTCCCATGATCCTCCAAGTACCCTATAATGGTCTATATAGTGGGTATATAATGGCTATATTAACTTAGATCGCCAATGCCCAACCTTTAAACTTTTTGGGTTCTTGTAGTTTAAGAGGAATCGGAAAGTTTGGCCTTTTATTTCTGTGGCTTATTGGGGCAGTAAGTATTTGATGCCTAAGGCTGGGTACTTCGCAGCCTTCGCGATTGCCGAGACCCGCTCCTTTCGCGCTTCGAGGCTTCCAGTGGTGTCGGTGGCTCCAGGGTGTTTTTAGGCTTTAGGGCTTTAGGGCTTTCGGGCGTTACGCTTTAGAGCTTTGGGCGTAAAGTTCAGGGATTAAGGAACTTACTTGGTGGCTGCTTATGGGTCTAGTGCCTGGGGTTTAGGGTTTGCTTAATCAAGGAGTCTGCTATTTCGGTTTCAGGGGTTGGGGTCTGCGGATCTAGGGCCTTGCGTTCAATCTGCCGAGACTGGCCTCAGGGCTTGCTTTGGGTTTTGGTACTGTAAGGGTCGGAAGCCATACACCCTAAAGTAAAAGCCAGAAAGTTGGAATATGATTATCCTAAACCCTTTATGGTAAATTATAGGGTATCCTACCCTGAAACCATGTTCCAACTTTCTGGAGTTCCCTTTAAACCCGAAGCCTTAAATCCTAAATCCTGAAAAGATCGGCCCAAATCTGAAACTCCAAGCTCTAAGCTAAAATTGAACAAAACCCTAAAACCAACAGAACCCTCAACCCATGACTCCTTGATAGCCCTAAACCCTCGAAGAGCCCTAAACCCTAACCCATGACCCTAAACCCTACCTGGACCCTAAGGAACCTACCTTTTTAGGGTTCCCTACTATGACTTCTGTATATAAGTCCTTCAAAAGGTAGGTTACGTGGGGCTAAGGTATAGAATGTTTCATAGACGGCTTTAAAGGAATCCCAAGCAGCCTTCAGCCCCAAAGTCTCAACGTCCTAGTAACGACAGGCCTGAAGACCCTAAAACCTAAGACACCAAAACCCCTAAACTTAGAAGGGGCCCCCACCCTGTAATAGTGACTATAAGGATTATATCAGGGCCCTATTTTATTCCTATTATACCACTATTACGGGGTGGGGGGGCCCCTTCTAGCCCTAAACCCCAAAACCCAAAACGCCCTTTCTCTCACAACCCATGACCCCAAACCTTTCATAGATCCCTGAAAGGAACCCAGTTATATCTCGATGGCCAGGGCGCGGCAACACAGCTCGCTCCCGAATGCCGGGTCGGCTGTCCAGAAACCAGGCCAGGGGATCCTTTAAGGGATCCATATTATATTATAACGGTTCCTTGAAGGGGTCCATGTGATATTATCCATATTACATTATAACGGCCCTTTAAGGGATCCATATTATATTATAACGGTTCGTCTAAGGGATCCATATTATATTATAAGGGTTCGTTGAAGGGATCCATATTCTATTATAAGGGTTCCTCTAAGGGACCCATATTATGTATAAGCGCTCCTCTAAGAAATCCATATTATATTGTAAGGGTTCCTTGAAGGGACCCATATTATGTTATAAGGGTTCCTTTAATGGGTCCATATTATGTTATGAGGGTTCCTTTAAGGGGTCCATATTATATTACAAGGGTTCCTTTAAGGAATCAATAATATACGATAAGGGTTACTTCAGGGGATCATACACGGGTTCCTTAGAGGGATCTACAAGGGTTTAGGGTTCAGGGAAGCCAGGGCACGTTTGTAGAGTTTCGGGCTTGGGTTGAGGGTTTGCAGGGTTTGTGTTTTTTCCCCGGAGTTTGGGGTGCAGGGTTAAGGGTTTATAGTGTTTCGGTAGCGTCTTTCGTTATTGTTTTTTGGTTGTAGCAGCAATAGCCAAAACAGTGATGAGTGTAGCTCCTAAGGAGTAACAACTGTAATCAACTTCATTATGTTGATCGTGACTGTTTCTAGTACTGTTACAACCCTTGGACTTATCCAGGCGCTGTTTTGTTATCAGTTGCTACAACTATTGGGTCCTTGTTTTCTCACTGTCATTCCTACATTACTAGTCTCGTGATTGTGTGACTACTGCAGTTGCACCATGTGCACCGTTTTTCTGAATTCATTATCATGATCATTATTTAGAAGGCCCCCCCCCACCCTGTAATAGTGGTACAATAGGAATATAATAGGGCCCTACTATAATCCTTACCTGTGGATCCAAAAAACTACCGTTTTAAGGGTCAGATCCTCTAATCAAGGGGTCATAACCTACTATTTTATAGTGTTTGGGGCTACAGGTATAGTCACTATTGCAGGGTGGGGGCCCCTTCTAGATTATTCCTGTCGTTGTCTTCTTCCTCTCATCCCCGAAGTTTCGTTGACGGATGGGAAAGCATGCGCAGGTATCAAAACTCGAGGTCGCTGAAGCCTTAAACTCCAGGTCGAAGGTACTTAAAGAATCATGGGACTTAGTAACTAGGATTATAGTTAGGGTAACTATACTTGTAACTACTTATCACCCCAATGAAGGTACTTATGGCCTTACTTACTATGTCCCACGATCCTCCAAGTAGGAGGGTCCAAGCCACAGGCGGTAGAAATCACGGAAACACCCGTGCGACTGCGCAGGCAGATGTCTTGCCTGCCGGGAGGAACAAGAGGGTGCGCGGCGAGGTCGTGGTCTAAGAGCCAAACCCTCAGTCCCAGACTACACCCCAACCCCAAAGCCCTGAACCCTAAGCCCCGAACTCTTCACCTTAAGCCCGAGACCTTGGCCGCTCAGGGTTGAGCCTGAATGTAGACCCCTCATTGGTTTAGGGTTTCAGGCTAGCATTAGGATCATTTCTGTTTTGTCGAAGAAGAGGGAAGGGGTTTACTAATCCGGGGTCTACATTAATTACCCTCATGTCTACAGTTAAACGCACTAACGGCTGTTAAGGGCATAAGCCCCCAAATCCCTCATTGGATTGTGCATAACGGCCCCTATGTTGACTCTTAAATGCCCACGGTTGACGGTCTCTCCGAAAGCAAGTTCTGCGGATAGTTTCCTAGCTCCGGTCAAGACATGAGAGGTCGCTTAGGGAGTTTTAGGGTTTAGGATTCGGGCTTCAGGGTTTCGGAGGGGATGCCACACAACTACAAGCCCAGAAAAAGAGTTTCTTACGGAAGGTACCATCGTTGGCGTTCAACATCCCGGACAACTCCAAAGATGCTCTGGCCAAGAACCCGCCCATGTTCAAGAAGAATCTGGTTCAAGATTATGGTAGCTTAGAGTGTCCAGGGTTTAATTAGGGCTTAGGATTTGGGATAGGGGTGGTTCAGGAATCCCTAAACCCTCACCCCTAAACCTTAAGCCCTAAACCCTGAAGCCCAAGATGCTAGGGGTCTTAGCTCTTGGTTTAGGTTTCAAATCCCAAGATCCAGGCTTCTGGATCTTGCAGCTTACGAAGGTTTCGAAGCCTTCGTCTTCTAATTCCCAGACTTCAGGAATCTACCTACTAACATCACAAGAATCAAACGGGAAAATGAGGGACCCTCAATAAGGACCCCTAGGTATATACCGTTATATACCCTTAGTATAGCTATTATATACCCGTTATATAGCCCCATTATAGGGTAGGGGCCCTCCCAAAGCCTACCAAAAAACCGACGTGGCTCAGAGTGCTAGGCAGAGGGCGAGGTCGGATGTCGGACTGAGGTCCAGGGCTTAGGGTTTAGGGTTTTTGAGAGAGTTATAATTATCAAAATTAGGGTCCCTTTAAAGGGCTCTATAAGGGTTACTATAAGGGATACTATAAGGGATACCATAAGGGGTACTATAAGGGTATCTACTATAACATGGGTGGTTGTCAAAATTAGGGTCCCTTTTTGGGTCCGTATGACAAGACGGCACCTATTATTTAGGGCACCTGAAAAGGGATCCTACCGTTGTCAACCACCCACCTAAACTCGCACGGCTTACAAAGGTGCTACACGAGGGATCTCGTTTTTCAGGTTTGCGGGGCTTAAACAGGCAGGTTTCAACAAGGTTTCAGGGTGTAGCGACGAAAGTGTTCCAATGAAGATGTTGATAGGGTTCCTGTGAACTCAGGTTTATAGGATTTAGGCTTCGGGCGCTCCCTGTGTGAAGGAGTTTGGAGAAAACCCAAATCCCTGAACCCCAAAACGGAGGATTCTACACCCTAAGACTCGACACCCTATAAACCCTGAACCCAAAAACCCGAAGCCTGCAGCCCTAGCAACCCGGCACGCCAGAATCCCAAATCCTCCAGTATATCTGAGAACGACGAAATCGGAAAACCGTTAACTCCGAACCCTAGGATTGAGGATCGAGTTTGTAAACCCAAACATTCTCAACCATGTTGTCCGAGTGGCTTGTGTTCGCCCCAAAGCTGTAACTCCTAAACCTTAAACCCTCAGCCCTAAACCCGTATAGATGCCGTGTAGAAAGCTTAAAGCACCTTTAAGCTTGTAAAACAGCTTCAAACCCTCGTAAACGAGTCCTGCAGTAAACCATTAATCCCTCACAAAAGCCCCAAGCCCACTCACATGGAGATAGAGCTCCCACTGCACCCTCATGGCATTTACCTTACGATGTAGCGGCCTTAAAAGTGTGATTTGAGGTATATTCCGTAATTACGGGACATCGGAATCACCTGAAAACTCCTCAAAACCACATAAAACCTCCATATTCCTCAATTAGAAGGGCCTCTCGGGAAACCCCACTTAAGTCTTAAAAAAACCGCACACTTTGTTGAATTCGGGGCCGCTTGGGCACTCTGGGGAGCTTGAGGCATGCCTTGCGCGCGGAGCAGAGGAGGCCTCTCCCGTCCGGAGCGGGGTCTGATCAATGGTTTGTTTTAGGAGTGCCCTTACTTGGAGGATCATGGGACTTAGTATGGTTATAAGTACCTTAATTGGGGTTATAAGTGCTTATAAGTATAATTACCTTAATAATAACCCTAGTTACTAAGTCCCATGATCCTTTACGTACAGGCCCCTGTATTTTTATAGCATAACATACACCACAACCCTATTCTAATCAGACGGGCCCCGATATTCGTACATTTTCTAGGATTCAAACAGCTCAGGGTTTTGGCGTGCAGAGCTTGAGCAGGTCGGTCAAACTCAAGCACAGGTCGTCTTATTTTGGAAGATCCTATCGCTTTGAGGGGTCATCTTTGGGGTCTTTGGGCTGCTGCTACTCCCAGAAGGAGGAAGGTCTTAAGGAGGTGTTTCGAGTTCAGGGTTTTAGGATTTAGGGGTTTAGGGTTTCGGGTTTAGGGTTCATTAGCCATAATAAGGAATATACAATAGCTGGGGGGATGTGCAGGGGCGGCTAGGGTTTCAGGTTTTCAGCGGTTGTGGTGCGCAGAAGCCTTGGCCTTTGCATTTCAGGTTCCAAGGTTCTGGGGCTCGTGTGCCACCATCGAACTGCAGAGGCTTTTCACCCTGAGCTTTACGAACCGGTCCCAGGCCAGATCCCAGAGTTCGATAATATCTAAAGTATACATTCTTCAGGCCCTTAATAGTGGCCTGAAGGTAGACTGTTGCTGTATTGGGGGGCCGTGCCCAAGCCAGATCCTATGGTGTTGTCCTTCCACTGTTGTTTGGATGGCTGAAAGCTGCAGAATAGGGCAAGTGCTAGTATAGAAGCTTGTATAATTCGTTCGCTATATTGTTGCCTTTTCCTCATGACAGCTGTAGTTTAATGTGCCCCAAACCTTTTTGTAAGAATTAAGTAAGGCCCCTAAAGTAATACGGAAACGGGAGGGGAACCCAGCTTCAAGCGCACTTTACGGTGTGGCTCTCATGTCTTATCCTTCGGTATACAGCCTGCAGGCAACTGTACACGAACTCCACGAATAAATCCTTATAGAACACTTGGTGCGAAGGTATGGCTGCTTTGTAGGTCTGTGTCCTTTGATGTGATGCCTCCCCGAAGCGGTGATTTTCGGGGCGTTGTCCAAGAGTAGCTGCCTGAACACCTTTGAGATCCCAACACCCCTTAATGAAGGAACATACTTTAAATCATAATATGAAGTCCCCTACGTATAGTTTAAGGTATCTTCCTTCATTCCCTTATAGAACCCCTTCAAGGAACCCTAAGGTATACTCTTGGTCGTCTTGGAGCAATCCGCATCCAGGAAGAACCCTCCTAGAGATCCCACTACCCCTAGGGTTGAGGGTCTCTGAATTAAGGAGTATACCTTAAACTATAGCGGGCTTAATAGTATGATCTAAGGTATAGTCCTTAGTCTTGAAGGAGCCCTTTAAGGCACTTGTAAAGGAATGCCCAGAGCCTAAGACAAGAACCAACCTCTAAAGGAACCCTTAGAGGAACGCCTGTAGAACCTCTGTACAAGCCCGATAGACAGCCCAAATAGATCCCTGCAGATGCGGTACCCCCGAAGCCCCGAACCCGACACCCCGAAGCCCTAAACCTCTTAAAACCCTAAACCCTGTAGATCCCTTAAAGGAGCCCCTGAGAAGGGACCCTTTAAAGGAACCCGTGTAAGATCCCTTGAAAGAACCCCCGCAAAGCTCCACGAGGTCCCTTGGCTGGATGCTTTCCATCGAGCGCCAAAAGGCCGCCAAAGCCAAGGCCAAGCCACCGAAAGCGCGAGATACGAGGCGATGACGAAAAAAAAAGGGCCGAGATCCCAATACACCTTAACTTTAAGGAATAGACCTTAAACTATGGGGGGCTGAATATTTTATCCCTGAATTAAGTGGTATTGGGATCTCAAGGGAAGAAGGGTTCCTTTGTAAGGGGGTGTGTAGTGGCCACTATAAGGGATCTATAAGGGTACTATAATATAGGGGCCGCAATGATGAGAATAGGGTTCCAATAAGGGTTCCTTTAATAATGGGGTCTATTGGCAAAAAGGGGGTAGGAATCTATATTATGGGCCTCGATAATTAGAATAGGCTTCTGGGGCCCATTTTACAATAACTTTTAATAGGAACCCCCCCCAAAATGGTATTCTTTTCTTCAGATGGTGCAAAGTCCAGCAGGGGACGTACCGCATGCAGAAAATAAATTCAAGAGGTGGCGCAGAAATCTATGGGACAAGTACCCATAGTGTGCACTCACCTGAAGTGCGTGAGGGATTTGACCGGCAGCCTGAGGCAGATGCTTCGCACCTTCAAGCTCAAAAGCCGTCCCAACGCACCACAAAACTCTAGATGAGACCCGTCGATTGAAAGTTGAAAGAGGGATCATAGATCGTCCGCTCCGTGATTTACCACGAAAGCAGCCGAACCCGCGGACATGATCACAGAATGTGTGCACATGCACATGCAGGTCCGAAGCGAAACAAAGAACCTTAGCTTGAGCATATTCCTCAAGGGGGGAGGGAGAGGCAAATCGCAAGCTGTACACCCCGCACCGCTGACGCTCAAGCGCAGCTGTGCCCATCACTACTACGTGCAGTGACTGCGTGTACACATGGAGCACAAGCTCAAAACCAGATCGGAATAACATTTGACATCCGGTTACCTTGTGACTGGTAGCCATCTCCTCGCATCGTGCACATTAACTTGCCGACGACACTGTCGTCCACAGCCTCATCGAGAGATAGCCAATGAAGAGCTGTATTCGCAAGGCTAGCTTCGTACTGAGCGCGATCCCGCTCCAACTTGGGCTACTGCCAGTAGTCGCGCGGGTATTCGGTAGTAGGCACTGCACCGCGGGGGCCATTGTTGCCCTCATCGAGCTCACAAGCCTCGTCCACGTGCGAAAATTCCACGAAAGCTCGCCAACGTTTCTTGGAAACTGTGGGCATGGAAGTTTCATCAATAAGTATTTATTCCACGAGTCCAGCAAGCATTGCCCCGGACCGGCAAGCTGATGCACGTCATTTGCCTTTGACGAACTGCCCTGCATGTCTGGTAGGCATGCCTAGCGAAGAGCTGCCGAAGGCTGCCGATGTACAAGAGTGCCCGGCAGCAAAGGGTGGCGGCTCTGCACAACCCACCACCGCAAGACTTACAGTAGTTGCCAGCTTTCGGTTTTATGATCCGGATGCCCTCTCCAAACGAGCCTGTTCTGCTCGGCGACCCCCATTCCCCGAGGGGCCATGGCATGGGGGCCTGGGGCCTACAGCAATCAGGCGCTGTTGCCTGTGTTCTGAGCCCTCAAAATGGTATTGGTAATTATTTCGGCCGCTGTAGTAAGGTTTGGGTTTGAGGGTTCAGGTTCTGGGATTTACGATCTGGGGTCTGGGCTTTCTCATTTTCAGTACAGTAGAATATACTAAGGTCGCTACATCAGACCTTATACTATGTTGTTTAGTTGCACCCTTGAATCCTTTTTTTTCTCGCCCCCACATCTGGGATTGGACTGTTCTCAATTTAGGTATCAGCAGGTATCATGGGTGTTTTTGCACCCTCATTTGGGATCGGACTGTTCTCAATTTAGGTATCATGGGTTTTTGTTGCCCCCTCATCTAGAATTGGATTGTTCTCAATTTAGGTATCATGGGTGTGATATAACATGGTCAATAGATCTTTTGCGTGTTTCATAGTCATTGGTGCTCAAGTCGCTTTTGCACACCTGCAGTCCCAACAGAAAACAGACGCCCTGACCCTTGGAACCCTAAGCTTCAGGCCTTCGCCCACCCAAAACCTCGCCCTCGCCCACAGGAGAACCCGGACCCACTCGCCCTCGCCTAAACCACCATAATAAATTCCTGCTGGCTCATGACGTGCCACCTCCTGTTCGTCCTCATCGATGATTGGACAGCGGGGATCCCAGATTCAAAGGAAGTTCAGGCTTAGGGTTTAGTGATTTTAAATAATGACGACCGATACAGGTCGAGACCGATACAGGTCTTGTAGTTAAGACTAGGATTAGGACGACCGATGCAGGTCGAGACCGATACAGGTCTTTAGGTTTAAATTGTCGGGTCTCGGTCTCGGGTAGGGCGTAACCTTCGCAAATCGGCATAAATCTAAGACGACCGATGCAGGTCGAGACCGATACAGGTCTTAGGTAGCTTCGGGTCTAGGTATTATTACATAGATTAGACGACCGATGCAGGTCGAGACCGATGCAGGTCTTAGGTAAGCTTGGGGTCTGGGTATGATTAAATTACCCCATAAATAGTGTAAGACGACCGATACAGGTCGGGACCGATACAGGTCTTCTTAGGTAAGCTTCGGGTCTAGGTATGATTAATTAAAACTAAGGCGTAGATCTATATTAAGACGACCGATACAGGTCGAGACCGATACAGGTCTTCGGCTAGCTTCCGGTCTAGGTAGTGCTTAAGCCCTAGACGTAGTCCAAGACTAATACTACTTAAGACGACCAACGCAGGTCGAGACAGGCGTTAGTCTTAGGTCCTAGCACACGACCGATACAGATCAAGGCAGGAGGTGGAGTAGTGTTGGCGTTAGCTGTTCAGGTTTAGGGCAGGGCTTTGGGTTTTAGGGTAGGGCTTGGGACTCTAGTTTAGGGTTTCGCCTCAATGCATAGCCTAACCCGCTGAGCCCTAAACCCGCCCTAGGCTTGGGACGCAAGGCTAAGCTTTTCGCTCCACTGTAAAGCAGGTAACCTTTAACTATAATACTCCGTGTATAACCCCAGTATAATAACTCCCAACAGATAGCCTAGAGTTCCCCACGACACTCGACGAGTCGGCTTCAGTGGTAAGCATAGCCAATTCCCCTTACACCGTAAGCACTTCAGGGCTGCAAACCTTAAACCCCCAGCCTATGTAAACCCTAAACACTGCATTTTCGCCTTCATCATTGCCAAAACCCCCTGAACCCCACGCAGGGTCATGGCCTCAGCTCTGCGCACTCGCCCTCGCCGGTGTGGGTTTAAGGGTTTAATATAAGGATTTATGGAAGGTTGTTCATTGCCGTTTAGGGTCTTCGAAGCCGTAGAACCAGGACTCGACCTCGGGAACCCTTTTCAAGTTAAGGTTCCCTCGCCACCTATCGTCTTCGTACAACTTGAGCAACTCGCAAACTCATCATGGATTTCACCCGAGCCTCCACTTCAACTCAGGCCCATGCACCGTGAGCCAATGTCATCATGTCCTAGCAAAGCTTCATCCTTCACTCCCAACTTCAGCCCAGACCCCACCCAGGTTAGAAGCTGCAGTTTGCTGGGCGCTTGTGGGCTTGGGGCCCAAAGCCTTGCGAAGTGGTGTGTCGCCTTACTTCTCCAGCCTCGCCTGAATGCCCAGGTCAAATTGCGCGCTGGTGGGCTTGGAGCCCAAGCTTTGTAAAAATGTGTCACTTAGGCTTCGGGAATGGCCTGCAGCTAGAAGTGTAGCCATGCCTTCCCCGCCCCCGACACCCACACAGAGCAGGTTTTGAGCAGGCTAGCTTTGGCGCACAGAAGGAGGTGCTCAAAAGCTGCTCCAAAAAAACCGCCAAAGGCAAAGTAAACACTGGAATCTGGTCCACAACGGCTCGCAGTTGGACAGAACACCTAAGCAGAGCAAGATTTGAGCAGCTTTGCTTAGCAGGTTTTGAGCAGGCTAGCTTTGGCACACAAGAGGAGGCGCTCAAAAGCTGCTCCTAAAATCAAACCGCCAAAGGCAAAGTATACACTGGAATCTGGTCCACAACGGCTCGCAGTTGGACAGAACACCTAAGCAGAGCAAGAATTGAGCAGCTATGCTGTCTTGTAATATTGAACATGCTCCAAAAGTGCTCCTGGAGGCTGCCTCCCCGCCCCCGACACCCAAACAGAGCAGGTTTTGAGCAGGCTAGCTTTTGCACACAAGAGGAGGTGCTCAAAAGCTGCTCCAAAACGGTTCGCAGCTGGACAGAACCTAAGCAGAGCAAGATTTGAGCAGCTTTGCTTTCTTGTAGTATTGAACATGCTCCAAAAGTGCTCTTGGAGGCTGCCTCCCCACCCCCTCCCCGCCCCCGACACCCACACAGAGCACGCTTTGAGCAGGCTAGCTTTGGCGCACAGAAGGAGGTGCTCAAAAGCTGCTCCTAAAAAACCGCCAAAGGCAAAGTAAACACTGGAATCTGGTCCACAACGGCTCGCAGTTGGACAGAACACCTAAGCAGAGCAAGATTTGAGCAGCTTTGCTTTCTTGTAATATTGAAGGTGCTCCAAAAGTGCTTCTGGAGCCTGCTCCCCGCCCCCTCCCCGCCCCCGACACCCACACAGAGCAGGTTTTGAGCAGGCTAGCTTTGGCGCACAGAAGGAGGTGCTCAAAAGCTGCTCCTAAAAAACCGCCAAAGGCAAAGTAAACACTGGAATCTGGTCCACAACGGCTCGCAGTTGGACAGAACACCTAAGCAGAGCAAGATTTGAGCAGCTATGCTTTCTTGTAATATTGAACATGCTCGAAAAGTGCTCCTGGAGGCTGCCTCCCCGCCCCCTCCCCGCCCCCCCACACCCACACAGAGCAGGTTTTGAGCAGGCTAGCTTTTGCACACAACAGGTGGTGCTCAAAAGCTGCTCTAAAACGGTTCGCAGCTGGACAGAACGCCAAGCAGAGCAACATTTGAGCAGCTTTGCTTTCTTGTAATATTGAACATGCTCCAACAGTGCTCCTGGAGGCTGCTCCCCACCCCCGACACGCACGCGGAGCAGGTTTTGAGCAGGCTAGCTTTTGCGCGCAAGACGAGGTGCTCAAAATCTGCTCCAAAACGGT